TTTCATAGGTACTTTGTTTACTGTAAGTAACCATCAATGCCAGTAAAGTCTGCTTAATTCTCAGTTCTGGGGCTTCTGATAGAGATTTGTGATTTCATTAATTATTTTTAGATTACTCTGCCCTTTCCCTCAAAAAACAAAACACAGCAAAACAAAAACAAAAAAAACCCAGTCAAAATTTGGGAGAAGATTGATTTATTAAGCTTGTTGTTAACTTTTTGAAGTTATTAACTTCTTAGCCTTTATTAAAAACCATGGATCCTAGCTTGGTAAAAATATGTACCAAAACTCACATACTTTTTAGAGATTTTATGTATATAGGTTTCCCCCAAAGCTATCTCTTGAAGAGCTAGTGGTTGCTAGGAACTTCCTCTGTCACCCAAGGTGAAGAGCCCTGGAATCAAATCAGTCCATACAGATCAAAGGGTTACTTTCTTTTTTAAAATTTTTTTAATAGGTACCGGGAATTGAACTCATGACTGCACGCTTGCAAGGCAGGTGCTTATGCCGCTGAGCTAAATCCCTAGCCCCAAAGGGGCTTTCTTAGCAAGGTTCCCAAAAGGCTTTACCAAACTCTTCCACCAGGTTCAGAAGCTCCTCAGTGTTTGTTCCCCCATATTTGTAAATTCACCTGCTCTCTAACATGTGCTTGCAATTCCAGGATCCAGACTCACAGCATTTTCATACGTGTTTGTGGACCTGAGCAGAGGGTGAAATTTTGTGTCCCTCAGCGCACATGTTCCAGCTGAGACTGAGCAAACTGACGCTCTGCCTTGTGTCTCATACTGCAAGATCTCTTCAGTGCCACGTTTTGTGCATTCCTATTACCAATAAAAATGGTCCACAAGCAAAGGGCTGAACTGCTGTCAGCATTTTTACATGCAAGAAGGGCATGCTGTGTCTTAAAGGGACAGCATATGTTTGATAAGCTTCATTCTATTTTGAGTTATTGTGCTACTTGGCACAAGTTAAATGTGAATCAATCAACAGTTTGTGTTCAGTAAACCTTTGTTAAACAGAAACACACATGAGATCATATTATATATTGTTCAGTTGATGGAAATGTTGATCAGAAGCTCAAAAGGACCAAACCCTGTATGTCCCCCAAGAACTGTGACTTTGTAGAAGGGAACTATTGCAAATTACAAGACATGAGTGTCTTTGCAAGCTGTTGACCTTTCCAGCTCTGCTGGTAACCAGCCTTTCTCTTTAAATTACATCTTAACTGTAGTCCTTCCCGGAGAAATTGAGGAGTGGTCAATTTCTCATAATAATTATTAATAGTGTATGATAATTCACATATCATACACTTCTGGTCTCATGGGCTGCCCTGCCAGCCACCAGCCAGCTACCAGCCTGCACAGATGAGTCTTGTTTGGTGGGGGGTGGCAGGTCCTGCTGTGAGAGTCAGGTGCCTGCCCGCTGCCCCCATGCCACCTCGAGGAGAGAGAGGAGGCACACACAGGCTGTGGAGAAGGTGGCTGTGGGCCATCAGGGCTCAGCTGGGACTGAGCTGGGAAGAGAGGAGACTCTGACACTGTGTTTCCAACCTGTTGGGGTAAGTATAGCCTGATGAGTACAGGAGCACTGTAGGAGGACAGTTGAGAAGAACAAAAAATCAGGTCTGTCCTAGACAGTGTGGGACAGTGGCTCTTCTAAGCTGGAATGTTAAAATAGATAATGGCTAAAACAAGGTTCACCCTTTAAAATATTTGTTGGTGCTTTCTGTGCTCACCTCTCTTGGAAAGAATCTGCAGAGACAGCACAGAGTGATGAGGGCCAAGAGTTCTCAGTCTGTTTGCACCTGGGACTGGGCAGGAGGATGTGTTGTTTTCTGTAATTTCTCCTCCTTTTAACACTGCATCTGGGATCTTAGTTCCTGGTTGAAATTCCTGAATTCCAGGAGCTTGGCAGTCTAAGGAAGACTCCTTTCTGAAGCTTGGAAGGACCAGGTAGCGAAGAAACCCGCTGTTTCTTTTCTCTGCTGTTTTATCCTTGGTTTGTGATGACGCAGAGATACCTTCTGCCAGTTCAGGTTCTCAGCCTGGGCCCCAGGGCTCCTTCAGGCTTGTGTGTGGAATTGGAAGGCTCATTGTTCTTGGATGTGGAGACAAATCAGCTTTCTTTCCATATTTTCTGAGATTTGGCATTTCCTTCAATGAGTAAGATAAACGGCAGAACCAGTTTGTCAAGGCTTTGCCACCAATACAAAGTATAGATATTTTTATATGACAGGAAATCTCAAAACAGCATTTATTCCCGTCACTAGTTTGATATTAAGTTGGTTAGTAGGTCCCCTCTTTATTTTTGTAATTTAAGATGCTCAAAATAAGGCACATATATTACTATACCATAACATTAGAAGGTTTTTATAACTACAGTTTGGTAAGATTGAGATCCTTTGTAATCCTGTGTTTTGTGGTTGATTTTTGTTATGGCTTTATTGAGATATAATTCACATATCATACACTTCGCCCATTAAGTAATTCTTTCAATATTTTTATTTTTTTATTATTTTAAAGAGGGTATAACAAAACAGAACAAAGCAGATCAGAAGAAAACAATGTAAGAAGAGACACAGATTTCAAAGCAAGACAACAGGAAATCAACATTGACTACCATAATGTTTCTTGTTTTCTTCTAAATAGTTGTCTGTATCTTCACAGTGAATTCACACAAAACAAAACAGTATAAAACTGATCAAAACAGAATAATGAAAACATTAAAGGTTTATTTTTAAGAGAATAAAGCCAAGCAAAATAAAACAATAAAGCCAATCAAAACAAACCGGTGTAAGTGACACAGGACTTCAACACAATAGGAAATCAGTAATGGTTACTATAATGCCTCTTCTTGTCTTCAAAATAGCTACAGATACCTTCAGACAAAATCAAACAAAACAAAATAGAACCAATGAAAACAAAACAATAAATGTAGTAAAGGACTTCAAAATATAAGAGTAAATCCCAAATGGCTACCATAATATATCTTGTTATCTTTGAAATAGCTGCCCATGCCATCAGATATAATAAAACTAAACAAAACGGTACAGAATCAAACCCAACCCAATGAAACAATGAAAATGATACAAGCCTTCAAAACAGGATGATAGGGAATTAACATTGGCTACCACCCTCAGAAAGAGATCTCCCATAGATGCTACACTGTGTATTATTATCTTCTGAATCGATGATCAGACTACCAGCTTTAGACCTGCAAAGTCATTGAAACACTAAACACGGGGCTGGGGATTTAGCTCAGCGGCATAAGCACCTGCCTTGCAAGCAGGCGGTCGTGAGTTCGATCCTTGGTACCGATAAAAATGAAATGAAACACTAAACACTACAAGCATTAAATTGTATTTTACCTCAATATCATCATTGCCTGTGTTTCTCCAGATCAACTGGTGGCTTTCAATGGAGAGGTAGAGTTAGGTGTTGTGGACTCTTTTTGTTTCTCAGCCCACAGGCTGGAAGGGGCTGGTATCTCTGGCTCTCTCATCAGCGGCCCATGTATGGTGCTGATTTGCAGGGAGGGCTTGCTTCTTGGTGACTTCTTGTTCCCTTCCCTTACAGTCTGCAAATGGCTCTGACTCACAGGAAGAAGCTAGGGTCTGACTGTCCCCTCAGTGGCCCACTCATAGCGCCAATTCACAGGGAGGGCTTATTTTTGGTGACATCTTGTTCTCTTCCCTGAAGTCCACAAATGGTGCTGACTCATGGGAAAAGGCTGGGGTCTAGCTGTCTCCCCAGCGGCCCATGCATGGCTGATTCCCAGGGAGGGCTTGCTTCTTGGTGACTTCTTTTTATCTTCCCCTGAAATCCATGAATGGCACTGCATCGCGGGAAATGGCTGGTGTCTGGCTGGTCTCCCAGCAGTCTGTGCATGGCACCAAGAGGGCTTGTTTTAAATTATTAACTCCATATTTATGGGTCATGCAGGCCATCTCCACAATCTAATTTTAGAACATTTTTGTTCTAAAAAATGAGGGGAGAATCCTTGAGATCCTAAGGGAGGCTGGGGATATAGCTTAGTGGCACAACACCTGTTTGGCAAGCTCGAGTTCATAAATTTGATTCTTGGTACCAGAGATAGAGAAAAAAAGAGAGAGATCTCAGAGTCATTAGCAATAATCCTAAACCCCCATTCTTCCAGTGTCAGCCCCTGGCAGCCATAAATATATTTTTGAATCTATAAATTTGCCTGTTTGGGATACTTAATATATATGGAATATTTAATGGTCTTTTGTGACTGGTTTCTTTCATGTAGTATAACATCTTCATGATGATTCATTTAAAGTATTATTTGATGAAGGGGTCCACAGGACTGCCGCTGCCCCTGAAATAGCCAGGGTTTGTGGTATCCGATGAAGGTTAGCCCTCCCTGCTTTTAATGGGCCTTCTCTGGTCATTTTGCTTTCTGTTTTCCTCTTTTGCTTTTAAGTAAGGCTGTGCCTTGGCATGGCTTGAGAAGCACTGCTAATGACCTAGCAGGCCAGGCCTGTAGCTTGCCTTGCCACTCATGGACTCCAGCCCTCTCTTCAGATGTCCCCCAGTCAGAAGCAGGTCCCTTGGAGAGTTCTCGTCTCCTGTGGCTGAGTCTTCGGAAGGAAAGACCACATCAGCGATTATGTTGCCTCACTTGTTCCTGAGCAAGTGGAATGGAAGGTGGCATAGTGGGACAGGACAGGCCTAAGGTGCCTACTGCCAGCTGGAAGCTGCAGCCCCAGTACCTTTGGCCACCCAGGGATGCACACACATTTCCCAGCCCCTAGATAGCTGTCAGCACTTCCAGAGAACAAGCCTTCGTGGAAGTTCTGAATCCCTGCAGCTCTGTGATTCTTGCATGATAAAACCTCCAGGCATGGTGTTTGTGGGCCGAGCTATTGTCTGCGTTTTCTTTTTCATGTGGGTGGGAATCAGCTTGGCAAGCGCAGTGTGAATGAACGGGCGTAAGCAGGAGCCGCTGCTGATGTCTGCTCTCCTATGCTTCTCCCCCAGCTCCTGAAGAGAAGGAAGTCATTAAGGGACAGTATGGCAAGCTCACGGATGCTTATGGCTGCCTGGGGGAGCTCAGGTTAAAATCCGGTGAGTATCGGTTCAGTGGGGGCAGCCCAGGGTCTCTTGTGTTCATTTGGGAGCTGTGGGGTTAAGGTGTCCTGTTTTAACTACTTTATCTCTTAAGATGTTTCTGTCTTGAAGCCTGCCTCTCACTGGGGAGGAGATCAAAGTGATGAACACCTGATTGTCACCTGTCTGGGGTGGAGGAGGATGTGGCTCCCAGCTCTTGAGTGCCGATGAAGCTCATGTTTATCAGTCCGTAGACCTTGAGTTTTCCTAAAGTTCTGATTGGGGTTTCTGCTCCAAAGGCTGTTTGTCATTGGGAGTGGGGTCTCTACTTCCTCTCAGATGTGCCCACGTAGGTGGACAAGGCCAGGAGTCCAGGGCAGAAGCTGCACAGGGCTCTATGGCTGTGTAGGCGGGGGGGGGGGGGGGGGAGGCACTGAACTGGGGGAAGGAGGTGCAGCCCGAAGGAAAAGGGGAAAATGGACCCCGTACCTGCTGTTCAGCACCTAGCATTATGCTGGAGTCGGGGAGGATAGAAAACTGCACTCAAACACGGGTGGTGAGGTCTGCGGAAAGGGGCGAGAGTGCACTAGAAGACGTGGGCATTCCTGCTCTGGCTGAGACTCCAGAGCTAAGCTGGTCACAGCCACCCCTGCACCACCTCAGCAGCTCCTGGGCCTCAGGCCCCAGGGCCCTCTGGTTCTGCAGTCGCCCTTTTCTTCCTCCTCCCCCAGACACCTGCTTCATGTGAGGTCTATCTGTGTCACCAGTGTCCTGGCTGTGGAGGTCCCCAGGGGCCGTTGGCCTCAAGACCAGGGTCCAGATCACATTCCTGATTCTTGGCCCTGCCCATCTGATGTGGGAATGACTGTGAATTGTCCAAATTCAGGTCTCTGGCTTTTTCCACATCCAGCATATGAGAGACCAGGGGTTTCCAAATCTGATAGAATAGTGCTGTGTTTGCCACTACTACTTTTCTGGCTCTTTTCTGTCATAAGGTGCTTTTTCCTAAGCTCTGATGATTACATCCATTATTTCCAAATAGGCAATGTTTCAGAAAAACATTCAATGCTCACATGACGAAATGTACTTTGTGCAATATCTCTTTGTGCCAAAGGCTAGCTGTAGGTAAACTTTCTCAGTCCTAAAGATAAGCCCACATGGTGATGCATCTTTGTCCCCATGTGCAGTAAAGGAAATAGGTAGAGGGTTCTCATAACTGTTTACAGTGAGAGGCTCACCTGGGATTCAAACCCACCTCTGTATCCTGCTGCTTCTGAGCACTTGCTTTTTCCATGCAAATATGCTGCCAGACAACAGTCTGGACAGTTTCCTCCACAGTGAGCTTTCTGAGGTCACAAAAGATAACTGGGGGCTTTGCCTTCCACTGTGATGATGGTAAGGATGACACTAACTGACTGGTTTCTCTGCACTGTGTGTAGGTTTGAAGGTTTTTACTCCATTCCCCCAGTGCCTGAGGTCAGCACAATTATTATCCTGCTCTGTACTTAGTGAAAGGGATGCATCAGCAGCTTCTGCAATGTTCTCCATCTGCCACAAAACTCCTTTCTTCCCAGTGTAACATCTCGGCACTCAGGATGGCTTATAGTCAAATCTTACAGTTATAGCTGGCAAGCTTTTCTGGAACATAAATGAATGATTCATTTTATATCTGACAGAGACTGGAAAGGGAAGGACAGTAACTGGCTCACATTCACATTCATCTCAAGCCCTAACCTGAGTTTTAAACTCATGCCTCGTGGCACAAGGGCCACGTCTACCAACCAGGCTGTCTGCCTCTCTAAAAGGGACTGGTGACCAGCTTTCAAGGAGGACAGAAAGAGTCACACTTGTCCTATCGAAAGGGGCAGTGACTTTTCCCAGGGTGTGATCTAAGATCAGCAACCAGGAATTGTTCCTGACTGGGAGGGTAATAGCACCCAAAGACATCATCAGAGTAAATCCTGATGCAGGGGCCATATAAGCATCAGTAGGTTATTGTGGGGATAGGAAGTGTAGAGAGGTGATTAACTTCCTGAGCTGCTCTGGCCAGACCAGCCAAGCTGGGTGCACACTCAGCCTGGAGCTTGGATGTGGTAAAGATCATTTGATCCCCAGCCCTATTTCTGCTGTCCTCTAAGACCCCAGCCCTGACTGGTAGATACCGTGTAGGATGGGCTTTTAGAAGTCTCCCTGGTTGTGTTTGATTTTTGGATGCCAGGATTCTTTGACCCATTTTCAGCACATTTTGGAGTGTGCTCTTAGATATCTCAAGGATGGGAGGATTGGGCATTTACGTTAAGTTTTGAGAGTGGTTGACTGCATCTTGATTCCCCTCCCCATCCCATAAGTCCCTGACCCAAACTCTGCTCCCTCTTGAGTCTTTTACCTTTTGAATGTACTGGGTAGTACTGAGTGTTACTCTGCCTTTCAGGGGCTTCCAGGATGACCAGCTTGTATTGGGAGTGGTCTCCCTTTTGATATTTTAGACTGAGTCTCTACCAAGAAAGAGGCTTCCCTCTCAGACTCTTAATTTGGGACAAGTTGTTAATTTCAACTTTAAAATAGATTTTATGTTAGAAATTAAGAAACATGCACAAAAATAATGTTGAAGGCTTATTCCAGGTTTCTAGGTTTTTGTGGGAAACTATCTCCTTCCTTCCCAGAATGCCAACTAGAAGGGGTTGGAGGCCCCATGATTAGCCCAGGAGTTGGGCCTCCTGATATATACTCAATTCAAAGCACAGAAAGCAAGTATAGCAGAAAAAAAAAATTTATTGCAATGATTATGTGGACTTAACTATTCTTTAACCCAAGCACTCAAGATCTTTCTGCTTCCTTGCCTGAGGGACTCTATTCAAACCCTAGTTTATAATGAGTCATTTTATGAGTTGTTTTTCCTGGAGGTATACAGTGCAGAGCCTGTGATATTGTGCATGATGACCCTCAAAGTTCTCCATCAGGCTGGTATCCTAACTTCCTAGCTCCAGACTCACAATTGACTGACCTTCTAGGCTCAGTTAATTTCTCCATAGTTATAAAACCAGGGAAATTGCCTCATCACTATCCTACATGAATCCTAAGAGCTCTTCATAAGGAGATGTGTCTTGTTTTTTCATTTGTTTTGGTACCAAGAATTGAACTCACGACCTTGTGCTTGCCGGTCAGGTGCTTTGCTGCTGAGCTATTTCCCCAGCTTTCATAAGGGGATGAATATGGTAGGCTTGAAAACCATGGTGTGCTCCTCAGACCCTGGGTAGGCTGGCTCTGGGAGTTTTGGGTACACAGTGATCTATAGCAAATCTTGAAACAGACTGACCTTTGCCCATCTTAGGGTAATTTACTTTAATACTTATACCCAGTGGTGTGCTGGTAAATGTTTGATACCTAACTTCTTGAGGTGAGGGGGCCTGTGGTTCACATTGTTTGGCAGGTTCGTTGGTATAAATGCACTGAGCACACTGATTGCAGGCTGGGACCCCAGCATGGTGCTGTACACCCTACCTCCATGTTCCATCAATGGGGGAGAAAGGTGCTGGAGACCACGTCTCTACCAGTCTGGGAATAATTTTTTAGTACAATTTAGCACATTTTTTAAGCACATTTCAGAGGGCCTGGGGTATCTGAAGGACAGGAGGATTGGGCATTTAAATTGGACATTGTTTTTGCTATTTTCTTGTTGCTGGAACAGAATAGCTGACATCCGAGTTAATAGAGGAGAGATTTATTTTGGCTCATAGTTCACTGAGGTTTCAGTCTGTAGTTGACTGGCTCCAAGGCAGAGTGGCATGGCAGACAGGCACTGCAGAGGAAAAACATGAAAAACACCAGCACAGAGGAGGCATAGGGCACAGGGCTGGCCCTGATAACAGGACATATGTCTGTGGTGATGCATTGTGGTGATGCATCCCAATAGCCAGCCCCTCACAATGACAAATGGCTACTGCTGGTTGAGTGCTTGACCCTGTAACTGCAAGAGGTTGGGGCACTGGACAGCTTTGCTTGAAGATGGCTTGAAGACAGCCGTGGGAGGACAGATTCTCTGAACTGAGATTGAAATTTGGTTTTTTGTTTGTTTGTTTGTTTTATTTAATTGTGGTAAAATATACCTAGCCTAAAACTTGCCATTTTAACCATTTTAAGTGGCATCAACAAAGCTGTGCATCCATCACTAGCACCCACATCCAGAACTCCCTGCATTCCCCACCCTGAAACTCTGTCCCCATCAAGCAGTATAGGGGTGGTCAACTGCTTCCACAGTGTGGTCTGGACTGAGCCTTCTGCTCTTTGGGATCTGTGTGGTAAATCACCACTGCTTCCTCTCTCTCCCCCTTACCTCTCTCTGACCAGCAAGACTATACATGGTCTTGCTTTGGCTAGAGCCCTGGAACCAGAGACCTTAACCTGAGAGGGACACAGAGACCACTTGATGCATCTCCCTGCAGGGCCCAAAGAGGGTCAGAACTTGTCCGAGGCCCCACAGGCCAGTGCAGGAGTAAAAAAGGATAACCCAGAATTTTGAGTCTAATGTTTCCCTTACTATAAGATCCTTGCTTCAAGCCTAGGATAGACTCAGCCTCAACTGACCACCTCCTAGGCCCTCCCTGGGCCAGTTTTGATCCTATGTCACAAAAGCAAAGCCCAGGTCTGCCACTCAAGGGGAACTTGTATACACTGGTGGCAGGTAACCCCTCAGGGCTCACTTTTTCCCCCAAGAACACCTCTGTGGGCCAAGAGTGGGTAGGACAGAGTCACAGTGTTGGGGGAGGAGGCCACTGGTACTGGGTTGAACCAGGCAAACCCCCAGCCCATCTCCCTAGGCGAGTTCCAGGTCAGGAATCTGGAAGCTCAGGACCGTGTTCCCCTGTGCCACATGATGTCCAGGGTGCACAGACACGGGGGTTCTGAGGGAATCATTCTCGGATCCTCAGCTCTCCCCTGCAAGTGATTCATCTTAGATCATACTCATGGTGGAAAGACAGGTTGCTGTCCTCACTGTCCCTGCCTCCTGACCACCTTCGTCATGGTATGAAGGAAAGGCATCTTTCTGCCATTTGGAATCTCCTCATGAGCCCCTCTCAGGAGGTAGCCACCTCTAGGATGCCAGGCAGAGGGACGATTCAAAACATTGTTGACAGCACCAACTTCAGTCACGTCAGTGGCTCAGAACCAGTTTTGTTTGCAAGTAAGGGAACAGCCAGTTGTTTGCTTCCATGAAACCGAAGACCTGAATTGGCATGGCATCTGACACCACTGGAAATAGTCTGTCAAAACGTTTTTTAGTATTATCTCTAAAAGACTTTGAAGAATTGAGTGACATTTCTATAATGAAGCTCTTTCTGTTTCCATCTATTTATTAATGTGGAAAAGTTTGCATAGTGTTTACATGTACAAAATGAAAAACAATTAGAAGTTACACAGCACGTACTTCAGTTCCACAATAAATAGTATTTACCTGTGCCATTGAGATGCCACCCAAACACATTTTATACATTCATTGATTATTTCCACAATGCTTTGTTTACATTGCACTGCTTGCATTGTTTGACCAATTGAATACTAAAAATAATTGTAATAAAAAACCAGAAGAAAGTCTTCTTATATTCTGAGTTTAGCAGCAAACTGTTACATACTCTTATAAGGTGATCAACAGAAAACAGAAATACAAAATTTGGATGAAAGTTGGTGCAGAAGTTGGATGGAGAGATGGCTAAAAATTCCATAATAGATGGGGATGGGTATCCAGTCACTGTGGATTCCACTGGATACCAGTAAAGAAGACTGTGCTGCCTTATTTTTACCTGTCAATATGTAGAATGTGCTGAAAGAATATTATTCTTAAATGATGCTTGAAACTTTGTGGTGTCTTTTGTCAAATGAGCCAGGGGTGCTGTCTGGATCTGTTTGGCTGCCATAGCAGAGTTCTCTAGGTGGAAACAATGGCTTATGAGCAACAGAAATTTATTCTTTATAGCTCAGAGATTGCCAGCCCAAGGTCAAGGGGCCAGCAGATTTTGTGTCTGGGTAGTGAGGGCTCATCTCCTGGTTCACAGACCTTCTCTGTGTCCTTGTGGTGTGGAAGAAGTGAGGGAGCTCTCTGGGGCTTCTTTAATAAAGAGCTGATCCATGCATGAGGACTCCACTGTCACTGACCAGATTCCCTCAGAGGGCCCGCCTTCTCATGCTGTCACATGGGGGTGAAGACTTAAATATGTGAAGGTCAGGGTGTCCCCATTCAGTTACAATGGGTATGTTGGCGGCCACACTCTTGAAAGGTACAGCAAGCCAAGCTCATTGAAATCTGCTGGATGCTAGTGGCAGACAGGGTTTGGGCTGAAGGTAAATTCTACCTTTGTATCTCCAATCCAACACAGACCAGCATGTGCTTGGGCAGTGACTAAGCCCCTCTGCAAGAACAGCATTTCTAGGTAGGTTGGTTCTACCACCTTCAAGTCTACAGCCAGACTTGACTTGAGTAACCTGTCCAGGTGGTACGGCCAGAAAATGGGTTTGGATCCCAGGTCCCCAACTCTGTCACCTTGTAAAGGCCACTTTCTCTCTGGGCCTCTTTTCTTCCCACTGTCTGTAAAATGAGATAATAATGAGATAATAATGATTTAGGAGGCTGCAATGAGTACTTGCCTGAAATGTGTGAGCACTGTCCTAAGTATGAGCTCTACAAAAGCACCTAGTGGCAACTGTCACTTGCCTGCACCCTCCAGAGCCCCAGGACTCAGGACCAGTTTCCTGTTGTGGTGGCACATTCCATTTTCCTCATTCATCTTGCATGCCTGCTGCAGCCCAGCCTTCAGAGCCTCCCCCAGGCCGCTGGCCTGCGCAGAAGATGCCTGCTGTCTTCCTGGCAGCCTGGGACTCCTGCCAGCTACTCAGGCCCCTACGCAGAGGCTGGTGAGGAGTAGGGTGAGAAATCCACTTCCTGACTTGGGCGGAAGGAGAGAAAAGCAAAAATTTCCATTGCTCTTCTCAAACCCACTCCTAGCCTGTTTTTCTGCCATGCCAAGGGACTTTGCTGAATGGTGTACTCCCCATCTGTCAGGCAGAGAGCTGTGGACTTGTCCCAGCCAAGGCTGGAGATTGTCTGCATCTCTGGAGCTGGGAGTCAAGAATGCTAGCCACAGAGACCCCATGCACCCTGCTTGAGACACTCTGACCCCTGTTGCTGTGCCCAACATGAATTCCTTCATTGTCAGGTGCTCAGTGGTCTCCTTATGACATGAGTGGGGAGCTGTGACAGGAACCAGTACTGTGATTCTGCAGGTGCCTCACCACCCCACTGTGCATCAGCAGGCAAGTGAGTTGTGATCCACTTATTCAGTGAATGTGCTTTAATAAAAACCATTCTGTGAGCCACCTTCTTCCTCCTGTGAGGTGTGAGGAGGAAGCCTGGGGAGGTATAACTATCTGTCTTTGGGGTCTTTCGTCCAAGCATGGAGCAATCTGAGGATGTCTAAACTATCACTCTAAGCAGTGGCCTCTCGCTGTTTAGAGTAGATGTTGCTGGGAGAGGATCCTTAAACCTCAGCGTGTCTTTTGGACTGAACCAGGCCAGTTGTCCACTCAGGCCATCTCTTGGACCCTGTCTGTTAATGGGGCAAGTGTCCCACTCTTCCAGAGGCACAATATTGCCATCCATGCCTCACTCAGACAGTATAGTTGTGAAGCATTGTGTGGTAGGGGGCACAGAACAGGAAATGGGGCAAAGCCAGGGACAGAGTGGCAGTGCCCCAGAGACTGCACTCTTCTCCGGGCAGCAGGCCAGTGTGGTCTGGGTGACCTGCACAGGAATTGGTTTAGGACACATGCTTCAAACACCATTGGTTCTAGAAGGCAACAGTGACCATGCCCTCAGGAGGGCATCTGCTGAGGGACACAGGCTGCAGGGGGCAGTTGGCTTTGCATGTGACCAGTGCTGATGGGGAGCTGGTGGCTCATTCAGGGGCTCCCCAGGCCCTCTCCCTGGAAAGTGAAGAAGGCTGGCAGGTGAGTGGGGAAGGTAGGCTGAAGCACTTAGGGTGCAGCTGTGGGAGAGGGCTGAGATCTGGAAGCTGTCCACACAAGAATCGTCAGAGGATCCATAGAAGCAGACTGCTGATCCTAGAGAGCTGGGCTAAGGCCAGACTCTGTTTCCAGCTGCTCCCGGCATCTGGTGCTGTGAGCCAACATCCTAGGCTTAGGTGACAGTGCTGTAGAGCCCTAGGCAAAGATGACCCAGTGCTAGAGATGCTAGAGACCTGCAGGATGGGGCTGGTAAACCACAGCCCCTTCAGCTCTCTCATCTGATTCCACTTGCAGGTGGTGCTTCTCTGAGTTTCCTGGTGTTGGTGACAGGCTGCACATCGGTGGGCAGAATTCCAGATGCAGAAATCTACAAAATCACCGCGATCGAGTTTTACCCTCTGCAGGAGGAGGCCCGAGAGGAGGACCGCCTGCTCGCCCTGCGGAAGATCCTCAGCTCAGGGGTGTTTTACTTCTCGTGGCCCAATGATGGCTCCCGCTTCGACCTGACTGTCCGGGCGCAGAAGCAGGGTGATGACAGCTCGGAGTGCGGGAGCTCCTTCTTCTGGTGAGGGCCCCGGGACCCCAGAGGGCAGGCTGTGGGTGGCAGCTTGTCCTTGACTCTCATGTTACACCAGTCTCTGGATTGTAGGTCACCTCTGGAGAGCTGAGACCCACACCTGCTCTCTCTGCAGGATGAGAGAAAAACTAACCTGAGTTCGCTGCCCTGTGAGCCTAGGGAATGGATTCAAGTTGTCTCATAGATTTAGAAAAGAAAACTTATTCTCGGTAGGGAAAGAGCGTTTGAGCTGGCATCTGTGAGTGCGCCCTGTGTGCTGGCGCATGCTCAGTGCTCCGTGGGCGGCTCCAGAGCCCACTTACCTGTTGTGTCCAGATATTCCCCGTGACAGTTACAAAACACTGTGTTTCAAGTACTAGTCTATAATGCTTGGGGTGATAACTCAGAGTCTTAGGAGGCAGAGTCTGTTACTCCTTCTTACAGCTAGAGAAACTGAGGCATGAAAGGGCATGGGCATTTTGCCGAATTCTACGTTTTGTAAGTGGCTGAGCTAGGATGTGAACCCAGGCATTCTAGGTCTAGCATACAGGCTGGTAGTCACAAGCTAAACCAGCCCTGTCTCTAGGGAAATTGAGTCAACAAGGCAAAGTAACTTGTCAGAACATATGTAGACAAGTCTGGCTGGGCTTATGTATGTTTAGGTCATCTAGCCTTCATCCCATGTAAGGGCATGGCTCTGAGTAGATGGCCCTATGAATATGTCAGTTACCTATGGGCTTTTCTGGACCTTGAGGTCAAGACCCTGCCATGTCCTGTGAAGGAGCCAAGAGGAGGCATTGGTTATGTGGGATGATGCCCAGGTCTGCTGGCCAACATTACTACCCTTAGACCTTGGAGACAGAAGAAAAGCAACAGTGATAGGAATCTTGGTCCAGGATGGATTTGGAATTGGGAAGTAGAGAGTAATTGTGGAGGCACCAGCTGCTGGATGGCACCCACTCTGGGGCATGGTATTGGGGCTCAGGACCAAGACCACAGAACTGACTACAGCCAAGTTCCCAGGAAGAGTGTTTGTGGGCTCCATCACCTACACCCACCATACTGTGGTCAGTGTCCGAGGTCTGGAGACCCACAGCAAGAATCCATGGGGTCTACATGCAAGTGGCTAGTGAGGGAGGGAAGGTGGGCAGCAGGGGGTCTCTCCAGCTGGTTGTCAGTTATACTAAAAATTGCTTGCCGGGACACTCAAGTCCTAGTAGCGAGTGCAAAACTCCGTGGTCCTTTATAGATTTGGGTCACTTTCTCCTGGAGTATGAGCTATCCCACCCAGAGGATCAGGCACATGCCTCTAGAAGAGGTTATTTGGAGTTATCTATTTGGTACAAGGCTCACCTGCCTTTTGGTGACAGAAGCCCGAGCTCTCTCTGGCAGATCTGGAATCTGGAGGTCTGGCTTTCATGCCAAAGGTAGATTTAATATTTTGTAATTATCACCTGAAGTTTACAGTGACTCAGAAGGAGACATACTTTTGTAAAATTGTGCTTCATGGTCATCATTTTTCATGCAGAAGAACCCTGGGGCTGTGAGAAGTCACTGGGAGCCAGGCTTCCCTGTGGGGTGCAAGTGGCTGTGGCCCCAGAATAGAGGTTTTAGAGGAGCCCAGAGATCTGTCAGAACTCACAGCACACATTCCCAGCAATGAGAACGTGCTGCTGTCTTTGAGGAAGGCCAAGGGCAGGAATTGGGTTGCCTTTTTTTGTAAAAGTAGGGCATTGTGATCTAGATTTGCTTCAGACCCTGTAGGAGAGAGTCCCCTGGTGACAGGCCTCACAATGACACAGCTCAGGTCCCCTGGGTGTGGGGGTGAGAGGGTGACATGACTATGTGTAAATATAGTGCCTTCATCAAGAGGGGTCAGGCTGAGGAGCACCAGCTCTGCTCATAAGCCCTGTGACCTTGGGCAAATGTTTTTGTTTTCTGTGCCTTAGTTTCTTTATCTGTAAAATGGGTTTCTAGTCCTACCTGTCACATGGGCTCCTTTGAAAGACGCAGTAAGTTAGTCTATCACCCAAGCATGGGGGATGGTGCTATGTGTGCTTGTACCTGTTGGCTATTTTCACTGTCACTATCACCATGGACTCCAGAACCTGGAACAGTCCTCTGGGTATGAGGAGGTGATACTGGAACTTGTATCAAATTTTATTTTGGATTGCCTTGTAATGCTTTTATCATATTCACCCCACAAGTTTATAGATATGTATATAACTTAATTGTGTATATATTTAATGATTACTTTTTATCATTTGTCATTTTATCACTGGACATGGTTATTATTTAATCAAAACATGATTACATTTTTTTTATTGGTGAGTTCTAATTTTAAAAATGTGGTAGCCTCTAAACAGAAGGTCCTCTGAAATTCGCTGCAAGGTGCCTGCTCACATCTAGTTTTGCTTCTGTTTGCCCTTTTTGACAACTGGTGGTACCTTTGGGATGTCATAGTGACCCTGTCATTGGGGCCTCTCTGAAGCACATGACTTCTGGATCTGTATGTCCCCAGTGCAGAGTCCTGAGCGGACGCCCCCACCAGTGCCTTGTCCACACCCATGCTGAGTGCAGTGTTGGTCTGAAGTGCTAAGGTGATCCTAACCTGCAGGGCTACATTTTGCAGGAACCAGCTACTGCACGTGCCCCTGCGGCAGCACCAGGTGAGCTGCTGTGACTGGCTGCTGAAGGTCATCTGCGGCGTGGTGGCCATCCGCACAGTGTATGCCTCGCACAAGCAGGCCAAGGCCTGTCTCATCTCGCGCATCAGCTGTGAGCGCGCTGGCGCTCGCTTCCAGACCCGTGGCGTGAATGACGATGGCCATGTGTCCAACTTCGTGGAGACCGAGCAGGTGAGTGCCCAGGCCCGCCCATGGCACTGCATGGTTCTCAGGCACTGCAACTCCTGCATTTTTCACTGGGGACAGAAGGGACCTTGATGTATGGGGGCTGATTTCTGGTCATGGCTCCTTCCTGTATGTGTAATTGGCCTCTGCATGAAAAATCTGGCTTAGGTTTGCGTGGTTTTTGATTCACATCTCATGTTGGGAAAATGTTGCTTACCTAAGGTATTTTTAGTTAGAAGGAGTCAGAAGTGGTTGCTGTGGTCAGGAAGGGTGACACTTATTCCGGAAGCAGCTGAAAGATGAACCAACAGGGCTTGAAAAGTATTTTTAGGATAAAAAAGTACATCAATTCAGTGGAAGAATGGGAGAAGAAACGTTTATTCTAAATCAGCTCAAGCTTCATCCTAGAAGCAAGTGTGAGTACTTGGGAGCAGTGAAGTCAGCATTTCAAGGAACAATTGCTTTCATCTGTTGTAGAGTGGGACTCTGAAATTCCCCATCGGTTTCCTTTCCTAACTTCTGTTCTCCCAGAGAGCAGAGCAGTCTTACAACTGCTGTTGTGTTTGTTCTGACTTGCACCCTGTGGGATACTGCTGGCCTCCAGAATATCAACTGGAAGAGAAAGCCCCAGAGAGGGACAGGTGTGACCCACTGTGGGTGGCAAGCTGCAAACACCTCATGTGTACTTAGTGCAGCTGTGGCTCTGCCCCCACTGTGACAAACACTCCTTCTGCAGACTTAAGCCTGTTTAATTCAGCACAAATCTGCACACCTGCCCCTACCCCATGAGCTTCTGTGTGCTCAGGGATTCAAAGGCAACACAAATCAGTGTGGAGCTCCATTTTGTAGGAAACAGCTATTAAAGATGCAAAGATGGGGAGACTTCTGAAGTCAGGCAGGCCTGGGAGAGGGCATGGAAAAGGAGCCCTCAAACAAGCAGCAGGTGCAGTTATCAGTGATTCTGCTCAGAGGGCTCATGCTCTTGAATATTTACAAGGCTGTTAAATAACTGCCTGGTTGAAAATGAGAGGAGTGGGGATGTAGCATTGATAAAGTGCTTGCCTAGCATGCATGAGGCCCTGGGTTCTATCCCGGACACCATACAAAAAATAAATAGAAAAGAGGGAGGAAGGAAAGAATTTGCAGCCCCCTAGTGGAGGAGGTCTTCTTTCCTGGCTTATGCCTGCATTGCAAAGATGACTGCCTTCACCTCACACGCACCACCTTCCCGACCACTTCTCCAGCCGCACTTTTTTACCCTTCAGATATTCAGTATATCTTTATTGTTTATCACCTGCCACAAACTGGGAGCTGTGCTGGGAACAGAATCAAAGGAGCAAAGCATGTCTGTACAAATCAGCATCTCAAGGTGTCTGAACTGGGTGATGGAGCAGATTCCAGAGGTCATCATGGGGCTGTAGAGGGAAGCTGAGTCCTAGCTTCCCTTTATTATCTATCTAGTTAATAAACTGGTCTCATCCAGTGTGTCTTCCAAGTCTGTCATCAGGGAAACAGCTCTCCACTGTTGCTGTCCTTTCATATAAGATAGGTCTCCCGCGTGTCTCTGTGTGTGATTAAACCCAGGGCCTTCACACTTAGATACATCCGCAGTCCTTTTTGTGTTTTTTGACACAAGATCTCTCTAAATCACTAAGTGGTCCAGGCTGGGCTCAGACTTCCAGTCCTGCCTTGATCTCCCACAGTACTGGACTTACAGGTGTGCACCGCCACACCTAACTGAGGTAGGACCTTTTAACACAGAATGTCTAGGAGGGGTGTGTGAGCTTCCTGGTACTGCCATAATAAAGTGCCATACATATACTGGGTGGTTTAAAATCCTGGGCCTTTGTTCTCTCAGTTCTGGATGCTAGGAATCTGAAATCAAGATGTCAGGCAAGGTCATGTTCTCTTCAAAGCCCCTAGGAGAGGGTTTCTCTCCCCTCTTCTAATTTCTGGCCCTGGGATGGGGACAGCATCACTCTGGGCTCTGTCTCTTCTGCCTGTCTCTCTTTCTAAGGACACCAGTCATATTGAGTCAGTGATCACCCTTTTCCATCCTGGATGGCCTCACTTAAACTAATTACATCTGCAAAAATGCTATTTCCAAACAAGGTCACACTTTGGAGTACTAGGGCTAGGATTTATCTGCTTTGGAAGAGATACAAGCCAACCCATAGCCAGTACATAATCCCATATGAAAGGACTGCGCCTTTGATGCAGTGCATCTGGCTTCAGGAACACTCTCCTTGTGATCTTTCCTTGCTTTGCTTTCTGCAGACTAGCAGGCATTTCTAAGACTCAAGCTGGGGCCTTTGCCCTGGCTTTTTAATGATGTGTGCCAAGGAATGGCATGTGTCTCTTGTTTTCCCAGTTAACTTGGTAGGGCTTGGGAGCAGGGACCTTGCCCACAACCCCTAAATCTTCTATTTTAGGGTATCCCAGCAAGGCCTTAGAGATATAAACAGCCTTTCCCAGCTCTTTGGTCACACCCCTGTGTTAGTCTATTTCCTTTTGCTAATTACACAATACCTGGGTAAGTGTTACAGTTTAGATCCAAAATACCCCAGGCCTAAAGTCACATGTGTTCACAGGTGGAGCTTTTGCAAGGTAATTGGATCATCAGTGGACTGATCCACTGATGAGTTCCCAGCTGAATATGTTCTTAGGCGGCAGGGCCCAGTTGGAGGAGGTCACTGGAGGGGTGTGACTTTGAAGGGTACATCCGCGTGGCTTTTCTTGCTTGCTCTGTTTCCTGCCTGCCGTAGGCTGAGCAGCTTTCCTCTGCTTTGCACTTAAACCACACCTTGTAGCCAGCTGCCTATGAACTGAGTCCTCTGAAACTGTAAGTTATACCAAGATAAATCTCCTCCTTAAATTGTGTGTGTCAGTATTTTATCCTGGTGATGGGAAAATGACTAATACTGTAAGTCATAAAGTTTTATTTTGACTCATAGTTCTAATCCAAGTAGAAGGGCTTCAGGCTCTAGTGATTTTTTCCCCCCACTTTGTAGTGTGGCCTTGAACTCATAGCAATTCTGCTAAGTCTCCTAAGTGCTGGGATAACAGGTGTGCACCACCATACCCACATCTTTTTTCCCCCAGCCCTTATTTTTTATTTTGAAACAGTGTCACTGAGTTACCCAGTATAGTCTCACATTTTCTGCTATCATCCTGCTTCAGCCTTCCAAGTAGTTGTGATGACAAGTATGTGCCACTGTCCCTGATTTGGTGATGGCCACCTTGCTAGCAAAGTCCTGTGGCACAAGACATCACTTGATGAGAGACAGACCACACAGGAGGCCTACCCAGACTGCTGTTTATTAACAAACCTACTTTCAAGATATCCCATTAATCCATTGAGACAGAGCCCTGGTCCCACCTCTAAATACTGGTATCTCATATTGAGGATTAAATTTCAGCATGAATTTTGGAGTGGAAAATCTTAACATGATCGTTGCTGGTTGAACTATCTCCACCTCCTTTTCTTGGGATTGAGGGAGTGATTTCTTGACTTCCATAGTATGCCTTTTAGATCTTCCTAGTTTTTGTTTTCCGGAACTCTGAGCCAGGCAGTGCTGGGCTCTCTATGAAGGGCAGTTGGGCACCACCATCTGTCCACCCTGAGACACAGGCAGCTGTAGACAAAGGCTCTGTCTCACTGAGAGGGTGTAATTTAACTCCACGGTGACTGTTTGCACCAGGCACGTCAAGCATTTGGGGACATACATTTGAGGCTGCTCCCGATGGACCATGTGTAAAGTTGGAATCCAGGCAGTCAGACTACTGTGATGCTGAGGAGAAGGTGACCACGTGGAGAGGGGGGTGTCATTCACAGAAGTGTGTCCAGTTGTCCTTGCTGGCAACCTGGAAATGAACCCTTGGGCACTTCAGCAGGGTCTGCTGGTGAGCCTATTTGGCTCCAGTTCCATCTTGGGCATGTGGGACGTAGGGTACAGCAGAGACAAGGCTGCAATGTTCTGCCTGTCAGGGCTCTTCTAGGGGCTCGGTTGCTTGCCTCCAGCCTGACACACTAGCCACATGCTGATGCAGGTGCTTCTCATAATGTGTCGTGGAGACTAGCACCAGGTGGAGAAGGAAGGCTCTGCTTACTCTGCAATCTTTGAGAAGCTTAGGGAGTAGCCCTGGTGAGGTGGTTCACTGAACTTTGGGACCTGCCTGCTGTCGTTTAGGGCTGAAGTGATATCATGGACACCAGGCATGTCATATTCCCTTGAGTCTGCAGGACCAGGAATTGGGGACAGTGTGCACCATTGGGTACCTGTCTCCTGCCTTTGCTCATATGAAATAGCAGATTGTAGCCGGGGATTTAGCTCAGTCATGTAAGTACCTGCCTGGCAAGCGCAAGGTCATGAGTTTGATCCCCAGTACAAAAAATAAATAAAATAAGATAGCGATTGTGCAAGCTCTCTAGGGCCTTTAAGTATAGGGGTTTGGTAGGTATAGGAGGGTATTCAGGTAAGGAATGTTGCTTCCTCCTCCGCCTGACCTTGGACAGTGATGGACACTGGTAGACACTGATTCTGGTCACCTGGCCCCAGGGTGCAGGCAACCGCTGAGCTCCTCAGTGCTGAGCTGGGAAAGAGGCATGCTGGGGCAGTACGACCCTGATGATGGTACCCACAAGCCACTTCTGGCTTGGGCCCTACTGGAGAGGAGTCTACAGACCAGAGGCCCTGAAGTAGGCACTGGGGGAAGCCAGATGGCCTTTTCAGGTGTCATTTGGTGAATAATTGTACACAGAGTGGGGACTTTCAAGAGACCAACTGGCTCCTCAGCCCCCTCTGCTTCTGCCTTGTTCTAACATTTTCCTCCCAGGAGTGAACAATCTGCCTCCTCCTAGGCAGGCTGTGTGTGCATGTATGTATGTTGTGGTATGTACACATCTGTATGTGGTATGTACATGTCGCATGTTCTGTGTGGTGTGGACATATCACATGCTCTGCATGCTGTATGTACATTGGTGTGCTGCATATGTTATATACATCACATGCTGGGTTGTATGTGTATACCCTGTGTGCATCTGTGTGGTGTATATGTACAAACACATGTTGTGTATATGGGTGGGTGGCATCTTTGGCTTCCTGGGAGGAAGCTTTAAGTCTTTCTGGCTCAGCTCTGAGTCATCCCCAGTGGGCTTGCTCTGCAGCAGTGACTCACTGCAGAAAAACAAAACCAAAAAGGCCCTTAGTCAGTCAAAAGATACGAGATAAATATTTGGCTTTTGGAGATAAGGCCGCTGAGTAACTGAGGGGATGGAGGTTAGAATGGCTGTTTCCTCCCTGGAGTGCAGACTTGTAAAGGCTGGTTTGTTACTGCTGCATCTGAACACAGAGGTCCAGCAAAAGGCCTTTCAGATGGAAGTGTGTGCCTACAGTTGGCATATTCTCCTGTTTTGTCCCTTTCAATTTATGGCACTTTGATTTCTGCTCCCACCATTTTGAGAAAGAGACCACTCACAGTGGCCTTCTAACTGCCTGGTACAGACAGCACATGCCCAGGCTTACTCCTTCCAACAAAGGGCTCCTGTTGGTTGCTGCGTCCCCATCTCCCTCCCAGCTGATCTGCTCTGGGATTCCTTCCTGCCTCATTCGCTCACGGCCTAGTTTTGTTTGCCTCTCATCCTGCCCCGGGAACCCTCCTTATTGCTGGATGGGCTCGTCCACAGTCACAGCAGTTGCTCCTTTTCAGTGCCTACTCAGTGCTGGGTGATGCACTTTCATTCCCATCACATACCAGGTGACATTGGCTCTATTTAGAAAGAAACTGAGACTGTGTTCAGTGGCTCCCTGGGGCCATCCTACTGGGCACGAGGGAGCTTGCAAAGTGATTTGGCCCAGATGGGACACTCGACAGCATGCTGTTCTCATGTACTTCACGCTCCATCCTACCTCTCTCCAGGCCTCAAGTGACCTCTGTGGAAGGGATCCATGATGTGAGACAGGACCTTCTCTCTCTCCCATTCGCATGCTGAGAGCACTATGGAGCATCTCAGGTGCTGGTGGCCAGGTCAGGGGCCTGGAGGTATAGACATAGAAGGACTTCCTGGAGAAGAAAGAGGAGAGAACTTTACAGCACTCTTTCCTCTTAACCCAGTGGGGAAGGGGATCCCAGGTGTTCTGGAAACTGGTTCTAAACAGGATGCAGCTCTGGAGGATCCAGGTCAGGTTAGAAGCAGCCCTGGGAGCACGTGGTCTCTGAGTGAAGGGTGAGAGTTCCTAGGCTTGATCAGACCCTGAGCATCACTGATAGTTGTCTTCATATTTGAATGTTGACTGACTTGGTTTCTTTCTCTGGAATCTGGGCTTGTGTAGATTGCACTTAGGTCAGCTTTGTGTCCTTAGTCTCACCGTAGCAACCATGCTGGCAATGATTTCAACAATCTGCTATTCTGTGCTGGGTTTTGGTAGTTGAGTAAAGGAGAATGACAAATTTTCTGGGAGTCCATACGTGGAAACACAGCACCTTTTTCCTTTGGCCACTAAGGCTAGAATTATAATTCATAACACAAATACTAGGTCTATCATGCCTGTGGCCTGTGGACTTGCAGGTCTTACTGTCACACCCTCCCCTGCAGAATTACTAATGCATGTGTGGCCTGAGTGTGATCTGGCCTGTGTGGAAAGCTACCTGTAAGGGCGCAGGCTGGTTAGCAATGGAAGGGACTCATAGCGGTGCCCCCGCCAGGCCAGGGTAGGATTGCACAGATAAAGACTGAGCATCTGATAACCACTGCAGTCTTCCCTGTGAGTGCTCAGGCCTGTACTTTTTGTCTTTTAAATGTCATTGGAAGCCTGCAGGCATACTCTAAAGTAACCTGTGCCTGTGAGGGATATTTTACAAAGCATAAGTTTATCTGTTTCTGTACAGGGGCAGGATACTAGAAGCTTGTGGAAACTGTTGTGAGTGTTGACTGAGTGGTGTGTTTAAGGACATGGTGGCACAGGGCCAGGACCAAGTTCAAGCTGAGTCTTGACTTGTGTTGTCAAATACGAGACTGACAGGTGCAGTCAGCTACGTCTTTTGGCTGTATTGCTTCCTGGTTCGTTTGATTTCTTCAATTCTTTCCCAGTAGCTGGCTCCCTGCTACTTAGCTATTGGACAGGTGGAAATAGAGGAGGGCACTGAGAAAGGTCTTAGTTAAATTCCAGAGCACATTTGTTTCTGTTTCCAAAGTGGGGAGGAGGAGGGGGGCTGGGTTTTTCATGGAACAGGGCACAGCTCCACCCTAGGGGTGTGTGTTCCCACAGACCCTAAAGGATAGATCTGGGAGCCTCCAGCCCACTGCAGACCCCTTCAGAGGCTGGCCAGCAGCCACATGCTCTGCCACCTGGCCAGGGCCATATGCGCTAGGTGAGAGAGCAGAGGGCGCCCAAGTCCACTGTCTGCCCTTCCTGACTGGTGTCAGGTCACAGGCACCGGATCCCATTACCGGCCCAGGACATTGGATTTCATTGAAGAATACCTTTCCGTTTCTGTTTCCTTGTGCCGCAGACGATTTACATGGATGATGGAGTCTCGTCTTTTGTCCAGATCAGAGGGTCAGTTCCACTGTTTTGGGAGCAGCCTGGGCTTCAGGTAGGTGATAACAAAAACTGTTCTCTGTTATTGTTTCTCTGCCCTCCAGGAGCTGCAGTTTGTTTCTTTAAACCTGTTTCTTTCATGCGGAATTTTTTGGGTTTTTTCCCTCGGTTCAGTGTGTTGAGTCGAAGTGTATGTGTACATGTGCGTATTGTGTGTGTGTGTGCATACAGGCTGGTTTTCAGTGTTTGGATGAACAAACACTGGTATTCTCTGACCTGGGTACAGTGTGTGTGCGTGTCCTGAAGGAGGAGGCCTCAGGGTGTGCTGGGCCATGTTCTGTGTACTAAGAATGGTTTGGGGGCTGGGACTCTCACAGAGGCCTTCAGAAGTCACCAGGGCCCTTGGTGGCCGTATGATGGGTCTGGCATTTGGTGCCTGTGTGGAGCCATGTGAGGACTGTACAGAGCCTTCCCATGATTTCTAAAAATACCCAGTACCATCTAAAGCATGGCTGTGGTCAGTGCCAGAGGAATTTGGCTTCTGTGTCCTGCAAAGAGTTCAGGGATGGGAATACTATCAAAGAACATACTTCTCATCAATGAAAGACATGCGACTCCCTGCGTGGGTTCCCTAATGAAGCACACTGAGGGCTGAGTAGCCTAAGGGTTCCTCACAATAATCTCCATTTTCTCCCCTGTCTGGAGGAAATGTGGTACTTTCAGAAAACCTCTCACCTGGAGCCTTTGTCATCTCCGGCTCTTCTTACCAAAGCCTCTCGTGTGACCGCACTTGGGTCATCAGCCAGTGGGTGAAGAGGCCCAGAGTACAGTGTGCTAGGTTGTTGGGGGTGCTTGACACAGCAGGCCTCTGAGTTCCCAGTCTGGGGTTCAGCTTCTTAGCCCAGACCTAGAATTGTCCCTACGCCTTAGATGGGGAGCCTCTGAGTCCCACAGCTGTTGGTTTGCTGCATTGACAATGTGACACATCAGCCTGGGGCGTGAGATGGATGGGTCTCATGTGGGCTCGGAGTTCTGTGGAGAAAAAAAATGCTTTATTAGTATGCAGTTTTCCCATGAGTAAGGAGCAACCCAGATGTCCGTGGATGGTCAGTGGCACTGAAAGGTAACATAGAAAAGTGTGCCTGAACTTGATTATACCTCAGCCCAAGAGCGCTTTCTGAAAGAGATTTTTTTTTTGACCTTTGGTGATCCATACCATAAACTGCACCCATGTAATGCATACTACTCAGTATTCTCAGTGCACTTAGAGTTGTGTAACAAGCTCTATAACCTAAAGTTAGAACGTTCTTTTTTTCTTCTTTATTTTTGCAGTGCTGGGGATTGAACCCAGGGCTCCCACATGCTAGGGGAACACTTCAGCCCTGAGCTCCATCTCCATTTTCTAAGTTGGAGCATTCTCATCACGTCTGGACAGTTCTGCACCCTTAGCAGTCACCCACCCTCCCAGCTCAGCCTCAGGTCCGAGTAACACTTAGCTCACTTTCTGTCTCCATAAAGATTATACCCTGAACCTTCCAAAAAAGTTTTCATTAAATTTGGAGTTTTCTTTCAGAAACTTCTTGAGCTCTGTATGAGGCTGATAAACATAGATCAAATGAACATAGTAGTATAGAAAGGAATTAGGGAGACCACATTATATTCCATGTAAAACTTATAAAAAATCTCAGAATCGAGGGGATGGTTGTGACAGAATCTTAGAATATGAGAAGGATCTTTGAAACTCATCCATCTTATACTCCCATTCAGCTCAGGACTCGGAGAGGACGTGTTCCAGGCCATGGCTCGGGCTATCTCTGATTGTGCCAGGCTCTCGGGATACTGGACCACTGTGTCTCTATCATTGTCTCTCTAGGGTGTTTGGAGAGCCACAGGAAGTCCCGCTGATCTCCCCAAAGCTTGCCTGCAGTGCTTGGTGGAGTGGCCTTCTGAGCTTCCCTCTGCCATTTTGTCCTAGGCCTTCCAGTGTCTTTGGTCTTCTTCTGTCCTATTTCTAGGACTCTCAATGTTCTTATCTTCATTGTCTAAAAGACAAGACGAGGCCAGGGATGCAGCTCAGTGGTGTAGCACCTACCTGGCAAGTACAAGGCCCTGAGTTCGATTCCTTGTATCAAAAAAGAAAATAGTATCAAAAAAAGACCATAAAAGACAAAACCAAGCAGTCTTTAGCTTGACCTTGAAGATGTCCCTGACACAACCTTACCCCTGCCATGGAGTGACCGTGCCTGAGTCGGACACCAACAAGGGTCATGAGGACATACATCACTCAGCTCTTTAGCTGCTGCATCACCTTTTAGAGTCCTAACACACATTTCACCAAAGCCTCTGTGGTGTCTTCAAACACAGTTTCGAAAAGCTTAGCATTCACTAATCTTATTAGGGATTTTCTAATGTTTGAGCTTAATCCTTGTATTTATCTGCTAAATACCATCTGTCATCAAAGAAGGATTAAGTCCTCTTCAGAGGGGGCCAGAAGTGCAGCTTATATGGTGGTCTATCATTCAGCCCGAATTATCAATATCCAGCTAAGGATGAGTTCTGGGGTTTTTCCTCCATTTTGAAAATTTCCCCTTCCTTCCTCACTTAGGAAAGATGAAAAGCTCAGAGATTTTTGGACAGATGATTTGCATTCTGAGCTGTAAAGTGTGCTTCTTGGGGGCTGCCCTAGGGAACCTGAGCCCCGCCATGGATGGAGGTTGACATGGGCAAAGAGGGCTGTGAGGCCTTGATTTGTCTTCATGTGCTCGCAGGCATAGTGCCTTCAGTACAAAGTTATAAATCTTGATGGCAACCATGAACCTTTAATAATTTCATCTTTATCATGTAAAAAGATTGTGCAATTTATAAATAGCCACAGTGAAATTTTGCTCTTAGATTCCTTGCTCCTCTGCTGGAGCTTGTTAGAGCATGTATTTGCCCTGTTGTTCATCTACTGAAGACTTTGCTCCTCTAGCTGCTTCAGAATTTTCCTCCCTGTAAGGTACATACACAAACACGTGTCTTGCACACATGAGTTTGGTCTGTGCTCTGGAGTTTCACGTGACAGAGCCAGCAGGAGGAGAATCAGAGAGCACTGGGGCCACTTAGCAATATTCACTGCTTCCTGGTCAAAACCTTTTCCTGAGTGCTTAGATGTGTGACACTGCTTGTGCTCAGTTGCATGTTTGTGTCTGTCTTTGTTCCACAAAGAATGTAAGATAGTATCGGGTTCTATCCTAGATCCCCGGTCTCCCAAACAACAGAGGTTAAATAAAAAGAGACAAATTGTATGATTTTTTTTTTTTTAGGGCCCCAAGAGGGTCAAAACCCTTTAATTAAGCTCACGACTCTGGAGGGTTAAGACCAAAGCTCCTCTGGATCAGTCCACTTTTATTAGGACCAAGGACAAAAGGTGGAAAAACTGAGGAAAGCGCAGGCAATGAGCAGGACCTTGGGGGGTCACTTCAAGGACGTCTCTAAGTCATGAATCAAGTCAATTCAGTAGCACTGTCCTATCATGAAGACATGGTAGGAGTGAGACTGTAGGAGTAATCTTTGCAGCTGCAGTCTCTATCTTGTTAATTGGGGTTGGAGCCAGAGTGTCCACAGCTGTGTCCTTATCTTGCCCTTTGAGGTATCTCTGGCCTCACAGGCCATTACAGGCCTCAGCCAGGACCAGTGATTCATAGAGATTCACTTACTGTGAATCAGCTCCTGTCGCCAGGCAAGGGGTCTAGGTCTTGGACAGACTCACAGATAAACATAGAAAGCCAATTAATAAAATTTAAATCATGCACAGAGCTGCTTTGTAGTGGTTGGCTTGTGGCATATCAATTTCCAGAAAAAAATTTGGAGTGAAGAAGATACATATTCTGGATGAGAATGAGCCAAGGCCAGGGCCAGAGCGGGCATGCACAGTGCCTACTGTAGCTCTGAGGAGCTCATGGGAAACCGCCTCACATTTGTCCTGGACATCCTGGCAGCCAGCACAGAAGGAACCAAGGTGTGAGGCAGTTTTTAGAGTCATTCAGGACATAAACCTTGAAGTTTTATAGTCCTGGTTCCAATTTCAAATTCTGGCATCTCATTTAGTAATCATGTACTTTTGAGAAATGCTTATTTTCACTAAGCCTTATCCTGTAAAGTTGGGTTAATCACACCTACCTCATAGGATTGTAGAGAGAAATAAAAGATCACATTACATACTAGAATTTAGCAGAGTATCCAGAGTCCAAAAAGTTTACAAAATGATAACTGTCTTTAATAATAAATTATGACATCTGGAGACAAACACAAGTCACATGGAAAGGATCATGGCCCTCTTTGTCCCGAGGGTTTGTAAGATATCTCCTATCTTCACAACCATGATGGTATGCTGTGACACAGCACAAGGACCAGTTTCCTTGTGTTTCCCTGCCATCCCTCACAGTCTGATGGGAAATCAACAACCCCAGGATAAGCCTTTCATTTCACAGGCATTTGTGGAGCTTCAGCCTGGTATATGGGGCCCTCAGAGTCAGATATGGTCTCTTCTCCAGGGAGCAGGGGGCAACGATGTGACAGAATCAACCTGTGACAGAGGAAGGTTGAGATCCAGTGGCAGCTCTCAGGAGAGGCAGCTGGCCCAGGTGGGGACTGGGGAGAGGACAGCTGAGGATCTGGAAGGTCCCCTTTAGGATTCTTGTCTTATCTGGCCAAGGAGTGGGCATGGGGGAACCACCCTGGCAAGGGAAGTAGCCCCAGCAGAGGGAGCAGCAGATGTAACCCCTGGATCATGGCACATCCAGGGATTGGCACTGGTTCAGTGCTTGGAATGGGGATACAGAAGAGATGATAAAAGAGATGGGGCAGGGGGCAGGTCAAGGTGGCTACGTTTCTTACCTTAAGGAGTTTTAATTCCAGAGTGGGTGCCCAGCTCTGTTGAACATTACAGTCACTGGGGGCTTTGAACATCCCACTCCCATCAATGCCATGCCAGTTAAATCACAGGGTCTGGAGGCGGGAGCCAGGAGCAGTGCTTTCTGAGGGCCTCAAGGTGATGCCAGTGTTTGGGAAAGCATGGGAACTCTCCATAACTTGCAAGTAAACTGTTTCTTCGGGTTGGCTAGGTTGTGGGGAGCTTTGACTTAGAGCATTCGTCCACTTCTGTAGACGCATCATGGACACCACTGGCCTGCCAGCTTGGTATCACTGAGCCCAAGCTGGCGAGCTGGGAGGAGATGCTCTTGAGGAGCCCTGATCAAGCCCCCAGGTAGGAGCTACTGCAGGTAGTATTGCTGCTGTCTGCAGGTGTGAGCACTGGGTGCCAGGAGGGCCTAGAAATACTGCTTGTGATTTTGGTGCCTTTTGTGTGAGTGCTGGTAGGGCTTCTGCTGTGGCCCTTAGCCAGGGCCACAAGCTCCAACCATTTGAATGGCAGCTCCCTTAAACTCAGTGTGTAGTCTATAGGACCAAATGAATGGCTTCAGGGACCACACAGGTAATCAGTCGGCTCTTTTGTAGGGGGAGGAGGCCAGGGTGAAGAAGGAAGAGAAGGTGGGAAAAAAAAAAGAAAGAAAAAGAAAAAAGCAGTGCACTGAGCTGTAGTGGGCCAGGGCCAACGGAAATTTTATGCCATCCAGCTGCAGCTCTTTCTTGAGGCTTCTGAGTCTGACTTTAGGAGTAAGTGTGCCCAGAGAAGGGCAATGGAGCAGGTTAGTGGTGGGGGAGGGAGAAGAGGCAGGGGTGACCTGAGGAATCCTAAAGGGCTCTAAAAGGGTATTGGAGAAGGGTCCTGAGAAATTGGGGGCTCCAGCTCTCCTCTGTTATACACAATGGCCCATCTGCTTTAGGGGATGGAAGGTCCAGCATAAGGCCACGATGCCCCAGAGGAGGACCCGTGACATGGTCCCACAACGTGGACGTGGCCCTGGAGCAGCACTGCTGCTGTCCCTCCACAGGCATTTGTCTCCTCAGCAAAAGGGGGATGAAGATGAGGATGAGTCAAGGCCAGCGCTGCCCAAACAGGAGCAGGTGTGCTGAGGGCTCACCCAGGGGATTGTGAGAGTGACAACCTGGCCCAAGCCCAGGGCTTTGGTTCAGCAGATCTGAGCTGGGCCAGGCGATGTCCAGGAACTACATTTTGAGAACTAGTGGCCTAGACTCATGATCCTTTCCACTCATTTCCTGCCTTAGCCATTCATATGGGCATGATCCTGTTGACTCCTGCATGTTCCCAGGTCAGCAGTGATGTTGGGAGTGTGACCACGCTGAGGACAGTGGTGTCTGTCCTGTCTCCATGAAATATACCCAAGTCCAGGCCAACAGATAGGCAGAGGCCCCAGGAGATATTGGCTTCAGCCTCGGCTCTACCGAGTCCTCAGTTTTCTGTCTGCTTCTCACTTTCCCTGAGTCCCTGAGGATGTGGTCGGTGGAGCTATTAATGGGGACAGGCCTCATCTCACTGTTTCACTGCTAACCAGCAGTGCATGGAAGCAGGTCTCCACAAAATTAATTAGTCCGTGCTACACAGACTTGTTTGGAACTTCTTGGTGTTTCTGGGGATTTCTGCGGTGATCCTATCTGGGTAGGAATCAACCAGGGCAGGGGATTCAATATCTCTACCTTGTTCCTGTTTTCCCATAGTACCAAGTGCTGTGTTGGCTTGGTGCTCAGTAACTCAGCAAAGGGCAGCATGGGTGGTCTGTAGAATGGGGAGGTCCAGACCCCAGGCTAGGGCACTGCGGGCTCTGCCTGTTTAAAGAAAGCACTTTGCTGTGTGACTCAGAGACAGGCATGTCTGTCCAGCACTGGAATCTGTCACAACCAGGCCAGGCTTTTGAGTGTGGCCTGTTGGCTTTGTGTTCTTTCTTTTTTTAAATTTTTGTTAGTACATGTTTGCAATACAGAACAATCACATTAATCATGAGAGTTGGTACATGTCCATAACACATCTTTTTTTTTTTTTAATCTCCCCTCCATCTTTTGGTCTTTTTGCAAAAGATTTATCTTATGTTTCCTATCATTTATCTATTATCTTGCTCTTTATCTATATTTTGGGTTTCTCCTAGAAATCATGTGATACTTAGACTTGTGTGTCTGATTTATTTCACTTAAAATTATGGTCTCAGTGCATCCATTTTCCTACAAATGATTCATTTATCCTTCATTATGGCAGAGTAGTGCTCCCTTGTGTATAAACACCACATTTTCTTCATCCATTCATCTATTGGTATAAATGTAGGCCATTTCTAAGATTTAGCTGTTATGAATTGTGCTGCTAAAAACATGGACATGCATGTGTCATTGGAATATGATGGCTTTAACTCTTTCAGGCAGATACCTAGAAGGGGAATAGCTGGATTGAATGGAATTTCTAGTTTAGTTTTCTGAGGAACCTCCACAGTGATTTCCATAATGGTTGTACTGGGTTTTACCCTCCTAACATTGTAGAAATGTGCCTTCCCCTGCGCCCTCACCCATGGTGATGATTCTGAAACAGTTGCTGTCTGTCCCCATGACAAGGGACATTTCTCACCCTGCTGACAGAGGACATGTGTGAGACAGACAGCTTCTACCTGGGCAACAGCTGCTAGTCATCTTGGCCGAGAGGAGCACAGATCGCCCACCACTGGGTACCTGTGTGAGCCCAGAAATGATAGAACTGACCGGTGGCAGTCTTTCCCATGCTGCAGGGCTAAGAATGTTTTTTGAATTTAGTGACATTTTCTTAGCTGGCATTAGTGGTGTTTGGGGGAAAAAGGAGGCCAGGGAAAAGCAAGGCCACAGAGTGAGGGTGTTCTGGCCGGGCCCTTCTCAGGGACTCTCACTAATGCACAGCAAAGCTGTCTCATTCCATGCACTCGCTTTCCTTCTGAGACCCAGGTTTCATAGGACCAACGAGGATTGGGATTTTGTGGAATCCCTGGCGGGAATGCTGCCTCTGTGATGCTGGGTCTTTCTACCCATGTGGTGTCCATCTGCCCCTAGTGATGTTAATTGTGGTTACCAGTCAAAGGTCTACTCAGTTTTACCCCTTGTCATGAATGCTGCAGGGGTGTTTTTCCTTCCGTTAGGAAGCACTCTAGAACAAAACTCTAGATCAGGCAAGTATCCTGCACCTTGTCAAACTATGCGTAAGTTTGATGCATAGTTTTTTATTTTTTACTCTGGTGATTGTACAATAATTTCTCCATTCCCCACACTTATCAATAGATATTCTACTGTAAGAATGAGATTTCCTTCTTCCTTATACCCATTCATACACCAGCCCACATATCCATCATTATCAGCATAGATTAACAGATTTTTATTTTATCAACTGGATCATAATCTATTCTTGTCCTTCTATTGTTTGGCACTCAAATTGCCTCCAGATTTGGCCAATGAGGGTTGCCTCAAGCTGGTTCTAGTAATAATATGTACTTGAAATGTTTTTGTTTTTCATTTGTATGTTTTATTTTTGGCTTAGAGGGGCATTCTTTATTTCAGTAAGCTACAAGTTTTGGAGAGAAAACAGAATAATTATAATAAGCCATGAGGTCCCAAAGGAGACCTCATAGTCCTCCAATGTATAGGGCTCATCTGCAAGGTCTTCAGAATATTCTGCCAAGGGGTCCAGTATCTCCTCTGCTAGTCTTTCATAGGCGGGCTCATCTGGAGGGGCTGCATTGCCGAAGTTCCTGAGTCCCTGAGATGCGTCAGATGGACGCTCTGCTTTTACCATTTAGAATCTGGTTGACATAGTGTAGAGCTTCAGACTGGCATGGCGTGGCGCAGGGGCCACCTCAGTCTGGATGCACAGCATAGGACTATGTGAGTGCCCCTGAGGTCACCAGGAGAGAGACTTCTGTGCCCACCTGGGCCAGGCTCAGAGATGCTGTCCAGGGCAGCAGACCAGTGGTTGTACAGCACCTGAGCATCCACTGCTCTGGTCTGTGGTTGCTTCCTTGAAATTTGGTTTTGAAAGTAAATTGAGTATTAAACAGGTGATTCTAAATATTAAGACAAATGAGACAGGATAACTGTTGTCAGGGTCCCTGGAGGAATAGAGTCTGGAAAGCAGTTTCGTGTCCCTAGGTGGTTTGGCTGAAGAGTTTGGAGATCTGAGACCTGCTTCTGCTCTTACCTGGAACTTTTCTTGTCTGTGGAAGGATTCCAGCTGGTAGAAGCAATGCTGCAGTCAGGGCTGGGCATCCATAGAGCCAGACTTCAGTTGGGAGCACTGTTTGCATAATCCAGGGAGCATGGCCTTCCTGAGCATGGGATGGGCCACCAAGGGGCCGAGTGGCTGCCACATGCAGCCTGGCTGGCAATGAGAAGAAGAATGGGGACACGGTCCTTCCTGGGCTTGCAGAACAGACTTACCAGTGTTGTCTCTCCTTGTTTTAGGTTGGCTCCCATCATCTGAGGCTCCACAGAGGCCTGGAGGCCAACGCACCTGCCTTTGACAGGTAGGGATCCAGGGACACCATCTAAGCCAGGTGTCCTCCATTCGAATGGGCTCAGGGGAAAGACAATGTGGGGAGGACTCAAACCTCAACTCTAAATCTGCCTTTTACTTTGGTCCTTTGTGCCAGAAAGGAGCTTACAGAGTGGGATTTTTTTTTTTACTTACTCTGATTTCCTGGAAGATTAATTAATGTTCAATTATTATCAGTTGTTTCTTGCAATGAAGCTTCCTCTACTTTATTTTTAATAAGGAATAATCTAAGTTATAAGATTAGCAGCTGTTTTTTAAAGTAATAATTCCTATGATTTAAAAAGTACAAAAAGATTTAAAAATGAAAGAATACCCTAATTTCTAAATTCCACATTTAAGAGGTTTTATTACTGGCAGTTTTATTTTGGCATATATTGTATATTTAATTTTTGTAAAATACAAAGTGAGCCATTCCTGTAAACCAAGCACTCAGAAGGCTGAGACAGAAGGATCATGAGTTCAAGGCCAGCCTGGGCTATATAATGAGACTGTCTCAAAAAATCAAAACCAGACAAATAGAACCACAAGTTGGATTATAACAGTTACTGTTTTATACCTGGTTTAAGGAAAACCATTACCCAGCTGAATTATTTGTAACCTGTACTCGAAATGATTAATGGCTTTTTTTTTTTTGTCTTTTTTCCTTTTTATTGGTACCAGAGATCGAACTCACGACTGCCTGCTTGCAAGGCAGACATTTATGCTGCTGAACTAAATCCCCAGCCCCGATTAATGGCTTCTTAAAAGATTTGCATTTTAAAATCATCTGAGTATAATAAAAATTCTCAAGAATTAATTTTTTTCAAAGCTGGGCATGGTCTGCCTTGCAAGCGAGCAGTCGTGAGTTTGATCCCTGGTACCGATAAAAAGGAAAAAGCTGGGCATGGTAACACATTCCTGTAATCTCAGCACTTGGGAGGCTAAGGCAGAGAAATTGCCGTGAGTTTGAGGCCAGCTTAAGTTACATAGTTCAAAGCCAGCCTGAACAACATAGCAAGACCTTGTCTTAGAAAAAGAAAAACCAACAACAACAAAAATTTTTTAGATGTTTTAATCTTCCAGCCTAAAGCTTTATTGGATCTTTAAATTTGCTTGCATGCTTTTTGTTGTTGTTGAATATCACACTGGGAACATAAGCCCAGCTATAACCCCCTAATTAGCATCTTACAAATTACTGGGCATTTATGTGAGATGTGTAATTTGGTAATGACAAAGCTTTCCCTTTCCCCAGAACATGATTAATATATTCTGAGCATTATACATATGGAGTTCTTTTGGTTGCTGTAAACCTAATGTCTTCAGGAAATAGTAGACATAACTGAAAGTGAAACTCTACGCAAAGTTGACCCAAAACAAAGGAAAAGAGAGTGGCTGGGCTTGCTTCAAAACTCCTTGCCTGGGGCTCTGGCAGCCCAGCAGTAGAGCAGTTGCCTAGCGAGTACAAGGGCCTAGGGGATCAGCACTGCAAAACAAAAACAAAACAAAAAGATGCAGTCAACATGTGGCAGTCGCCAGGTGAGTACAGGCTGAAGTACTCAGTGAAACCCTGACTCAAAAAACCAAAACCAAGTCAAAACAAACAAAAATTCTCATGTGTTTGTGAGTTTAAGCACATTTACATAGACTTGGAGTATTGTATGATCCTGGAAATGCCTGGTGGCAATGACACAGGTGCCTGAGATTGGGAGAACTCTTCTTTTTCATAAGTACCCCAGAAGGTGCTTTGTCCCTTGGAAAGCTTCCCAAATTTAAGAATAAACTTAGATTCTTCTGCAAATATTTGAGGAACTTACTAAAACTATTAAGGCTGTTTGCAGGCATCTGCTGCACATAGTTATGGCTAACAAGGAATCCTTTAATGCTTTTCAGTGGTGACATTTGAGCAGCATTGTGAGTTTAAGGTTCCCTTGGAAAGAGCTGCCCAGTGGCATGTTACTAAGGTTGGTCCCCTCATTTGAGAGTAGTATTTGGAAATGAAGGAAGGGAGGCATTTGACCTGGCCCACGAATCTATCTCTCTAGTCATTGTTGAGCTTTCAAGTCTCTTTCGGTTTTTTGATGGACTTGGCCCAAGAAAATTCTTTTTCTCCACCCGAAAAGCCTTCAGAGGGACCCATCTTAACGCCCAGAGTGCTCTTTCTGTCTCGGGTTAGTTTGCCAATCTCCCAGTTTGTCTGGGCTGTCTGCAGTCATGCTTTCTGTTTCTGTGCTGTGAGTTGGAGGAGAGCTTGGGAGCAGGCCTTTGGCTGTGGTGTTTGAGCAGGAGCTTGTCCTCTCACCCTGGTGATGAGTATCCATGGATGAGTGCTGACCTTTCGTGGGGATGGCACCCACATCTCCTTCACAGGACTTCTCTCATTCTGCACAACTGCTGTGTCCGGAATCATAATGTGCCTAATGCTTGGTCTCTCCCCAAAAATGAGGGGCAGGATACTTCCCAATGGGCACTCGACTCCTCAAAGTCCTACAACACTGCATTTCCCCACTAACTTCCCATGAGAGTGACAGATGGGTAGAGAAAGACCCAAGTGTCCAGAGCAACCAAAGCAGGAATGTATCTTCATATAACTGACCTCCATGTGGATGCCAGACTGTCCCTTATACGCTCAGTCAGCGAAGTCTTTTAGAACACAAGAAAAGTAGTTTAATAAGGAATGAAAAACCGACACCCCTGTGCAGAGCACTGTCTTCTTCCCTTTCATCTCTTTTCTTCCTCATGCTCATCTCTGCGTGGGAGGGTGCACCTGATTATCCAGATATGGAACCAGCTCAGAAAGGGTTTCTCACCTGATCCAGGGCTTGGGCCTGCTGAAAAGATAAAGGACAGGAATAATTAGTGGTATTTCTCTTCTAGCCATGTAATTTGGAGAAGTAGGTAGAGGGATCTGATAGATAGAGATTTGGACCTTTTTTCTTTTCTTTTTTTTTTTTTCTTAGATTTTATTTGATAAAAAGAAAAAAAAACAGAAAAAGGGTACAAGTTATACAGAATTTCAGAAAAAATAAACAGGAAGTCACTAGTTAATAGATTACATATTGTTATCTTAGAAATAGTTGTTCAAGTTACAAAATTAAAGCATATAAAGTGAACTTTCAAAGAGTGAGACTGCAAACAGTTCTGTTCAATGATCCAACAAAACTCAGTAATATGGTTATCTATCTTATACACTTAAATATACATGCAGTTATATCCTTTAGAGCACTTTCTTTTCCTCTCTTTTGTACAATGACAATTACACATTTTGGGTTTTATTACTTCCACAGTTCTTATTTACTTTTTTTTGAAGACAGTAAAACCAAATGTGACATAACAGAACAGAGTCAGTCAAATCAAAAGGATGGACATAATACATAATGTAAAAACAAAATACAAGGTGATCAACAATGATTACCATACTGCCTCTTGCTGTCTTAAAAAGAATTACCTATATCATCAGTTTTAATAAAATTGAACAAAACAGTGAAGACTAAAACCAAAACATTGGAGACATTACAGGACTTTAAAAGAAGATAATAGTCAACCAGAATGGGCGTCATAATGAATCTTACTGTCTTCACAGTTGTTGCCTATACTTTCGAACTTGGTAGTATCAAGCAAAGCAGAATAGGGGAAAATCAGTCAAAACAAGATGGTGAGGGCAATACAGGGTTTCAAATCAAGTTAATAGGACATCAGAGTTGGTTACTATAATATATCCTGCTAATTTTCCCTTGACTAAAAAGATAAAAATAAAAAAGTAAATAATTAAAAAAAGGAGATTGAGATAAAAGAGGGCATAACAACAAAACAGCGCAGGTCAAAACATAACCATTTAGGCAAAACAGTGTTTCACCACAAGATATTCCGACATAAAAGTAGTTACCATAGTGTCTCTTTCCTTGAAATCTTTGAGTATAACTTCGTATACTGCAGCACCAAACATATCAAGACAATGTAAAACCATTCAAGAGAATGACTGTATCACAGGGTATTTAGAACCAACTATCAGAAAATGAACAATGGTTTCTGTATAATCTCCTTGTCTATAAAAGTTTTTGTTTATATTATCACATGTAATAAAATCCAATAAGATACAACCTGTTAAGACCGATGGAGACAGAAGAATAAAAGCTTGATGGGACTTCAAAGCAAGATGATACTAAATCAGCACTAGCTATTATGATGTCTTGTTTTCTCCAGAATAGCTGTTCCTACCATCCGACCTTCTCTGCCTCATTTCTGTTGAGCTCTTTTTCTGTCGTTAGTTGTCAGTTTGTCTTCTTCATTTCGCTTTCTGCTCCATTCATTGTGGCCTCTCTGCCACTGTTTCTGGAGTCTTGGTATTTTCCTTTTTTAGAATATTCTGCAGTATTGTCTGTAGAGTTGAATTGGTGGTTGCAAATTCCCCTAGTTCCTCTTTATCCTGGAAGCACCTTGTTTTTCCATCAATTTCTAGGGACAGTTGTGCAGGATATATCAATCTTGGCTGGAGGTTATTATCTTTCAAAGCTTGAATTATTTCCCCTCATGCTCTTCATGATTTGATGGTTTGTGCCAAGAAATCTGCTGTAATTCTGATGGGTGTTCCCTTGTAAGAGATCTGTTTCTTGTCTCTGACGGCTTTTTTTTTTTTGTCTTTTTCCTTTTTATCGGTACCAGGGATCAAACTCACAACTGCCTGCTTGCAAGGCAGGTGCTTATGCCACTGAGCTAAATCCCCAGCCCCATCTCTGACGGTTTTTAATATTCTGTTCTTATACTGGATTTCTAGAATTTTGATTATTATGTGTCTGGGTGTAGCTCTGTTTGAGTTGTAGGTGGCTGGGGTCCTGTATGCCTCATACATCTGAGTATCTTTACCTTTCATTAAATTAGGGAAATTCTCTTGGATTATTTCTGTGAATAGCTTTTGTAGTCCATTTGTTTGTGTCCCTACTTCTTCTTTTATGTTCTTAATTCTTAAGTTATAGATCCTCTTATCATTTTCTGCCTTTGTATTATTATTGTTTGTTTTCTTGTTATTTTTAAGAAGTTTTTCATTTAATGCTCCCACATTACAAATCTGCCCTCCAGTTCAGATAATCTATCCTTAGTTTCTTTCAAGCCGTTATGCCAGCTTTCAATAGAGTTTTTAGTTTCCTGGTAAACTCTTTGAATCTGCTTCACGTATTCTATGTTTTCTCTATTTTCTCCATCAAACAGTTCTTCCCTTTTTTTTTGTTCTTCCATTCTACCATCTGTTTTTTTCTTGGGCGGTGCTTAGCATTTCTCTAACTATTCTACTTATATCTTGCTTTATTTCGTTAAATACTTCACTTTTGAACTCGTCTATGAGACTCTGGAGATATTGCTTTATGTCTATTGGTGCCGTGTCTGATATTGCATGTTTTTCTGTCCTCCTTTGCATTCACCTTTCCTGGATCAGTGTTCTCAGGATTGGGGACTGAGGACCCTTTCTTGTTGCTCTCTCTTCCCATACTTTTTGTTCCTTCCATACAAGCGTATATAGGAGGCCCAGTTTTTTTCTTTGTCATTTACAGTTTGTTTGAATCCACTGGCTAGGTGTTCCTGATGACTACAGTGCACTAGGGAGACACAAACCTGGGCAGCCTATGCTGGGCCCGCCCCTCCAGGTCAACCTACTGAAGGCTTCACTGCTAGGGTGCACCTCCAGGCGCTGGGACCTGGTTTGGGCTAGCCTACTGGGTGTTAGTCAGCGGCATCACCCAGGCCAAGCGCTCCGCACCAATCCCACTTGAGAGGGGAATATGCGACTAAAGTCACTGCAGCGTCCTGTTCCGGCTAGTCTGCCCGGTCCCGGAATGTCCTTTGCTTGAGCCTCCTACTCCATGGAAGGGTTCCCATTCCACTCACTCACTGCAGGCCGATGCAGGGCACCCTGCCAGTCCCACTCTCAACTCCGTTCGCCAATTCCCACTATCAGAGCTTTTGCGCATCTCTCTCCCTGCTGTGTAGATTTGGACGCAGCAGTGGCAGCAGGAAATTCAAATCACGGCTTCCAGTGGCACGGGTTCCAGCTTCCGCGCTGAGATTTTATCTGTTCCTGTTATAGTACCGGGATTGCATTTCCAGTTGGTTTCTCTCAGCTTAGTTCGTTCCTGGGTCGGCAGGGTATATCTCCCCTTGCTTAGGACTCCTTGCACCGCACCATTCCTGGATTCTAAGCGGAGTATCTCAGAGAGCCTCCGTAGCTGCTCTTATCTATCCACCATGTTCTTGGACCTTTTTTCTGATAAGCTGCATTGTGGGATGTGGCTTGGATATGTGGCCATGGTGGGCTTGCTTCCTGTGTCACCTCATGATGCTCAGAGCTGCCATCACTAGGCAGAGCCTTGTGTCAGAGCTCAGGCCAGATACCGCTTCCCTGGGCAGATCCCAGAAAGGCTGAGCCCCACATGTTCCACTTCCTGCCTTGCTCCAAGCTGCCAGGAGCATTGCTCTAGCAGAATTCCTCTCCGGAGAGGCAGGAGCCTGGAGAGGCTCTTGTTCGCTGAGGTCATCTACTCAGCAGGCAAGCCTAACTTGAAACTGCCCTCTTCAAAATTCGTATTCTTTCTACCCTGTGTGCTCACTATCAAAGTTAGTAAGAGAAATTTTTTCTCTCTTTTGGGCTAAAAATGGTGTGATTATTTTTTTCAGAAAAAATCTCTTTATAAAAGAAACCTGCCATGTAGAAATTTACAAAAGAAAAATGTTCACAGTAGAAAAAAAAAAAATCTTTAAATCCTGTAACATTCCATTCCTTTTAACACTGTGGTGTGTTTCTTTCCAGGCTTCTTTCATCTAAATTTAGGCATAAAAACCTCACTATTAAGTTACAATTTTATGTCTGGTTTTTTGCATTGTCTTTTCCGTGTTCTTTTAAGTACTACATTTAAATATCTTTAACATTAAAATTACAAAGTTACTTTTATCAAACTGGTGATAAGGATAAATATTGGAGTCTCTCCCAATAGCTCTCCATATATATTTAAAATATGACAGAGGAATGCTTGTCCAGAGCCTGCAGGTTTTGCTGTACCTTCTTGTTTGGGTTCAGTACTAGATCTGGTGGTGGTGCTTTGCAGAGGGGCCAGCACAGCCCTGTGTGTCACTCCCATCCTGGGCCTTTTATGCAAACAGGCAAAGGGAGAAGGCGGCAGCACCACTGAGCAGAGGTGCTGGCTCAGGAGGAGTCGTTTTCCCCACCCTGGGCCCTTTTTCCACACCTCGGGCCAGTGGCATGGCCGAGAGAGCATCATCCTTCCTGCGCATCTTCCCTGAGGTGCCCATGACCAAGTGGCCGGTCTGGATCTGGGTGCTGTGGTGTCACTGCCCACCCACTGCCATTGCAGGCACATGGTGCTTCTGAAGGAGCAGTACGGGAAACAGGTGGTCGTGAACCTGCTGGGCAGCAGAGGTGGTGAGGAGGTGCTCAACAGGGCCTTCAAGGTAACTCCACTCCCTAGGGTTGGGCAGGTGGGCATCTCTCCCTAGGGTTGGGCAGGTGGGGAGGGCGAGGTGGCCCCACTCAGGTGGACTTCTATGAGATTCCTGAAGGTTCAAAGATTTCCCCGGGGCTTCAGGTAGTTAATAGGCTGCACCAGATGGGGAGCATTTGCTCAAAATAAGAACAAAGCTGCATTTCACGTTCGGTTTTCTCTTGAAGAGTTGCTTAATCCAGAAAGGGAGAAGGTGGTGGAGCCTAGTAGCAGTTTGGCACCTCCTGGGACATTCACACCAACATTGCAGGGACTTCATGCCTCAGTCTCCTTCAGGGTCCTGCTCAGTTCGAAGCAGGGTACTGTGTGGCCACCTCTTGCCTCCTGGGTGGCCCTTAAGTCCCTGCTCTCATTTGGACTGCCTGTGTAAGCTAAGCATCAGCTTCTGGTGGAGGTCTAACATCTGAGTGCCCAGGTCTGTGGAGGATAAATCACAGGATGGGGAAGAGTCAGAGCAGGGGACTCCACCCAGGTCACCATGGGAGCTACCAGACTACTACGAAAGACCCCACAATGAATTGTGGGGGCCTCTTCATTCCTCACCCAGGCTTCATGACTCCTGTTTCATGGAAAAAGACTAGTGGTTAGAAACTTAAAGAAGCCCCTTATTGGGAGACCCTACAGCCACCTCTGCAGGGGCAAGGACAGCCCCTCCTGTCACTCTGACCCCTGGCTGGAGGAAGCACAGTCCAGCTGGGGTGCTCATTTCACTCTGCTTAGAGGGAGGAGCCACAGACTTGGAGCAGGGACTTTCTGGTTGTCAGTTTTATTTGGCTAGACCTGCTTTTCCTGTTTGGTTTGTTGCTATGAGCAACGTGATGAAGAAATCCATCCCCCCCTCCCCACCCCATTTTGGCAGCAGTGCTGCTGGCTTGTTTTAAGGCAGAAGGTTGTAGGGGAAATCCTTTTCTGTGGCCTTGAGTTACAGAGAAAGGAGGTCCTTATAAGCTCCTGCCCCACCTCCCACCGCCAACAACGGATGGCAGTGCCTCTGGCACTAAGGTGGAGGTCTCTGATAACCTGAGGGCAGGAGATGGCCTCAGGGTGGGACACAGGTAGAGACAGTTTGACAGCTGGAGACCGGGGTCATGCTCCTGACTAGTAAGTTCCCTAACCAGACAGAGGCTGGTGTTCCAGCTGCCAACTTGGGCTCTGGTGGTTCTGTCTACAGCTGGGCCAGGTGTTGGCTCCAGAGCTTATAAAGCTCTAAGCCACTGAGCATACTGTTTAGTTCCACAAACTATTCCCAGAGAGACTTTTCCTGATCATGGTTGCATATATAGATTTGCATTCTGGCCAGCACAGATGACCTAGAGTCCTTGTACCCCTAAAGGGCCCTCAGAAACTCTGGCTTGGCAGATGCTGGACTGATCTGCCCTGAAGCCTACAGTATGTGGAGGCTCAGAGCTAGGTGGCTGGGGGGCAGCTGGCCTGACCTTGACGTGCTTTGGCAAGAAGGTTGAGGAATGGCTTGGCAGGGAAGCCCTACGTGGGCGGGAGGCTTCAGTGATGAGTGCCCGAAGCCATCAACAGCCACAGGCTGTGTTTCTGTGGCAGTGCCCACCTTCACTATCCCTCCTGGGCTGTGTCTGGACGTGGGCCAGGCTGGACCCCATGACTCTGGCTCCTTGTCTTCCTCATCCTGAGGCATCACATCACCATCCTGCTGGCCACCTTAGCCTAGACACCTAGCTACTATAGAACCCACCCACCTGGGTCTGGGGCTTGTCAGGATGACGCCAGTTACCAGCACAACAAGAGCTGGATTATGAGCTCCCCAGCTTGCTCTGTGCCACTATCTCTGATGGCCTGGGCACTTGGCCCACCTAAAGAACAGTGAGGCTTCCTATATCTCTGCCCTCCAGGGGCCCTGCAGGAGTGGGATGTCCCCAGGAAGACTCCCCTGCACTTGCCTTTCTTGCCTAATGGGGACCTTCTGCCCTTGTGCAAGCAAGGTGCTCTTTGTGGCTTTTGTACTTCCAGGAGCTCTGTCCCATGCTTCCTTTTCAGGGTCAGAGCCAATTGGGCACCTGGTCTCCCATGCACCGTCCCATTGATGTGAGCACTCTAGTGGGTGACTGTTGGCCTCAGGAACACAAGCAGCAAGAGGTGTGTAGTCATTGCTTTGCCTTCCGTTGTCCCCTCACACCCTCCCTTCTCACTTTTCAGAAGTTGCTCTGGGCTTCCTGCCACGCCGTTGACACGCCTATGATAAATTTTGACCTACATCAGTTTGCCAAAGGCGGGAAGCTAGCGAAATTGGAGAACCTATTGAGGCCTCACTTAAAGCTGCACTGGGATGACTTTGATGTGTTCACGAAGGGCGAGAATGTAAGTCCACGGTGAGTCTGGCCTGCATGCTTCATCTTCATTCAGGCAAGGAGCTCGGGAACTGCAGCACTGCTGAGCCGGGTGCTTCTTCAAGTCTCCCCCAGCTGCCTGGCCACATCTGTAGCTTCTAGTGATGTTGGGCATCTGGCGTCCAGCCTTCTCTTTTCCCTTCTTGCAGTCAGTGAATGACATGCTTTTGAGTTTAGTGATTAGATGGTAAAAGATAACTTTCTGGAAAAAGGAACATCCTAATATAAAGGACTGTGTCAAAATGAAGAGCTCAACAATCACTTATACAAATTGTGATCACATGAGGATGAGGGGAAATTGTCACCAGTCTTGGTGGGACAGCTGGCCCATACCACCCAAAGAAGCTGAGCCATGGATTACCCTGTTCAGAGCTGAGAGGACAAGAGAGCCAGAGTCCTCAGATCACATGCAGTTGACCCTCATTATTCACAGACCCCGTATCTGTGAGTTTACTTGCTCTTTAAAAACTATTGGTAGCTCCAGAATCTACTCAGTGCTTTTGCAGTCATTCATAGAAACACACAGAGCAGTGAACACGCTGCTCTGTGAGGTCAAACAGGGTGACGTTTGGCCCTTGTGTCTGAGTTCTCAGGCTGTAGACAAGTGTCCTTTTCACTGTTTAGTGCCATGTCTTTCACAGTTTTGTGCTTCTTGTTGATTTCGCTGTTTTAAAATGGCCTGCAAGCTTAGTCCTGAGCATTTCTAAGCACAAGAAGGCTGTGCTAGGCCTTCTAAACAAATACAGGTTAGATAAGTTGCATTCAAGTATGGGTTTTGATGCTGTTGGCCATAAGTTTGGTGTTAAAGGAACAGCAGTAGCCTACAGATACTCTTGGATTTAAAATGAGGTTATGTTCTCATAAACCCTTGTGTGTCAAAAATGGCATAAATAAAAAAATGCATTTAATATTTTTATTTTTTATTTTATTTTATTTTTTATTTTTTTTGTCTTTTTCATTTTTATCAGTGCCAGGGATCGAACTCATGACTACCTGCTTGCAAGGCAGGCGTTTATGCCACTGAGCTAAATCTCCAGCCCCGCATTTAATATTTTTAACCCATGGTAAAATTCATTTGAACCAACCTAAATCTATATATTTTCAGTAACACGTCTTGAAACAGAAGCACGTAAAAGCAACTGATATGTCCATTGGTTGATAACATTGTCATGGCCAGAGGCCCATAGGTATCTAACACTTCCCCTCAGAGCCATGCACAAGTATTTGCTAATTTAATGTTCATGCAACTATGACTTCCTGTGAACTAGCTGTATTTATGTATTTACAGTGGCCAGAGCTGTGGGCACCTGGAGAGGTGGTTAGGGGTCTTCCTGCCTCTCCTGCAGTGCAGGATCCCTTGGGAGGTACACTGGGATGCTGGCAGGTTGCTAGAGAGTAGGAAAGGGCTTCTCTCTTTGGGGGATAAAGCCATTGTGCTACAGCTGTTGCTCCTCTGAACTCCTAACTGGCCCTATTTCTTGTTCCTAAGTTTCCAGAAAGGCACTTTGCGGATGAACTGTCTTGACTGTTTGGGTCGAACCAACACTGTGCAGAGCTTCATTGCATTGGAGGTTTGTCCCTTGGGCTATTTCATGTCTCATGCCTTCAGCAGGGCAGGCTGGGCCTTCTGTGGCAAGATGGGGTGGCATCACTGGGTTCATTTTGCAGGTAATAGTGATGTGCTAAGGTATCGGGGAGGTTTCCTGGGTGGCTGCTGGCCTGTGCCATCTTGTGCCTTTCCCTGTCACAGGCACACACACTCACATTTTCTCTAGGATGCCCTCTGTGCCATGGTGGCCAAAGGCTTGGGAGTCCTTAAGAAGCAGTTCTCCTGTACAGTGATTATCCTGAATGTATTACTGGGCCAGAACAATGTGAGGTTGCTGAGGGCAGGTGGGGAGCTACATCTGTCAGTGTGGCCCCAACTGTCTGGTGGCCTCTTAGCGCCATCATGGGAGAGGAAGTGAGCTCCACACCTCCTGCTTCCCCTACTGCTTGCTACCCAGCAGTGGTGGGGGGAAGTCTGGTGTTTGTCAGAGGAGGAGCTGAGTGGGTCATCGAAATGAAGCTGAGGGAGTTAAGGGGAGCTACTTTCTCTACTGCAAGAGCTCCCCATTCTCTGGACGTATGCAAGGTCTTCAGGGCCTAGAACACCCACAGTCTGCTGAGTGAGGGGCTCCCAAGGAGGCTGTCAGTGGCCACTGTCCTTTATTTCTCCCCAGGTCCTTCATCTGCAGCTCGAGAGCTTGAGGCTGAACTCGAAGCCCATTGTTGAGCGCTTCGTGGAGTCCTTCAAAGCCATGTGGTCCCTGAATGGACACAGCCTGAGCAAAGTGTTCACGGGCAGCAGGGCCCTGGAGGGAAAGGCCAAGGTAACAGCTAGCCAAGGGTGGTAGGAGGAGGGGCACGTCACAGTCCCCTGTCACACCTCTGGCTGGTTTTGTGCAGGTGGGGAAGCTAAAGGATGGCGCCCGGTCCATGTCTCGTACCATCCAGTCCAGCTTCTTTGATGGAGTGAAGCAGGAGGCCATCAGACTGCTGCTGGTTGGGGATGTCTACAAGGAGGAGGCAACAGACGAAGGGAGGATGCTCCTGGACAACACAGCCCTTCTGGGTAACTTCCACTTCCCTCTTCACATGGCCACCTACAGCAGGGGCCCTCACTGTGAGGGCACAGCTGGTGGTAATGCAGGAGGTTAATTAGTCTCGCTCCCCCAGTTGTGTCATTGAAGACGGCAGGTGGCAACTACGCCCAGAGCTTTTAGGCTTCTGGCCTGTGTTCTCTTGGTCTGACCAGTTGACCTAAGCAGCCTGTAGTTGCAACTGTACATTGTCACTGTCCCTTACTGTCTGTGGGGAATTGGTTCCAGGACACCCATGGGTACCAAAAGTGGCAGATGCTCAAGTCGTTTATATAAAATGCCATATCTTTGCATATAACCTTTGTCCATCCTTCCCCTACACTTTGGATCATCTCCAGGTTATTTATAATACCTAATGCTATGTAAACAGCTATTACACTGTACTGTTTTAGGGTAAAATGACAAGAGAAAGATCTGTACATGGGAGCTTGCCTCTGGTCTCTTCCACTGTCTTGGCTTGGTCTATTTTCCATGCCAAAAGGAGGAGGAATGGACAGGACTCTGCATCTGTACTGTCCTCAAAGTATCCGTGTCTCTGAATGCTCACTTTCTCCAGAAACTTCCTGTGACCTGAGCTCCTGGTCCCCTTAACAGATGTCATGCTGCTTAAGAGCTTCCTGTGGGGCTGCCCTGTTGTCCTGTGGCCCCTTGAAGTCCCTGCAGAAACGGAGGAGAGGACACTGGAATCCTGGGGGTGTGGGCACATCTGGATAGGAGTTCATCAATAATTAGAAGTTTCTTTGGGGAAATTTTAATGACATCTTATTCCCTGGAGCCTATGTACTTTATAGACCAAAGGGAAAAGGGGAGACCCAGCGTTTTTATGTATATGAAAATTTGTTAGAAATTTATGGTATTACTGAAGGAGAAATGAGCCCATCTTTGAAATGGTTCAATAGGTATTTACTACTCTCTTTTCTTCATTCTGGGGAGCATTTATTTGGCTTCTGATAGCCAAGGTGATGTTTGGCTTCTGCCCTGGGAATAATGGCAGCTCAGAAAAATCTGAACAAGCTCCAAGTGACGTACTGAGGCTTATTTAGTGGCAGGATGAGGGACTTGGCCTAAGTCAGTAGTTTAAAATGTTTTGTGTCTCTCGAGGATGGAGACGATGTAGTATCTTGATTTTTTTTTTTTTAATGCCTTTCAAATGTGGGATACAAGGTTAGGAAATGCAGTCAGGAGTTTTGGTTGGTAAGATATTTAAAGTTTTATATATATAGCTATATATATTTGTATATATACACACACACATAACAAAGTTATATATATTTATATATATTATTGATGTGGTGCATGGTGATGTCCCCAGGGCTTTTTCCTTTCTATGGGATCACGAGGTGAATGCCGAGGACGAGGCTTTCTCCTGCGTGTCTAGGGATTGCCCGTGACCTACTGTCACGTGACTCCTGTGGCCTAGTGTCACGTGACTCCTCTGGCCTTAACTGGAAGGAAGGCCCTGTCGAGGGCAGGGTGCATTTCCAGACCTGCGTTGTCGCGCAGCAATTGTATGTTGGGAAGTGTAGTAGTTAAGGGGTGTTCACTTCTCGTCACTCTTCCAGGGATTCACACATTTTGGTCCTTATCTACTGGCTTTCTTTGACAAGTCACCCTTCCTGGAATTCTGCAGTAAGAGAGTGTCTGAGATTTGGGCTGTAGAGAAACATGCCTTTTTATGCCTCCCCACAGTGACTCCCAGGATCCTGAAAGCCATGACAGAGCGACAGTCAGAATTCACAAATTTCAAGCGGGTCCGAATTGCTGTGGGAACCTGGAACGTGAACGGAGGGAAACAGTTCCGGAGCAACCTGCTGGGCACGGCAGAGCTCACTGACTGGCTGCTTGATGCACCCCGGCTCTCTGGAGCCGTGGACTCCGAGGGTGAGTGCTCTGGTGACCTCTAGCTATGCTCCCCAGCCAACCGGCCCCATCAGGCTTTTCAGTAGCTGTTGCTTTGCAGAATTTAGTATTTGACTTTTCATACTTTGGAATGTTCACATGTGAGTTGGGGATGTAGCTTAGTGGTAGACCACTTGCCTGGCATGCATGAGGCCCGGGGCTTATCACTAGCAACACACACATGTGCACGCAGCAAGTCTGAAAGCACAGTGCCCTAATCTAGAGTACTGCATAGCAAGTTAACTTGGTGACCCCTTTTCTTTTCCACGTGTCTGACAGAGCTATTAGATCTGGGTCTTTTTCTCTTTACGTGTAGACATCTTAGTCCTAGGATTGAGTCACTAGTACAGCTAGCTGTCATCAGGAGACCTGGCCTCTAGAGCCACGCTACTATTAGGAGCTAGCTGGAGCCAGGCATGCATGTAATGCTGCTGTCCCCTGAAAACTTGAACTCTGCAGTGCTCTGACATCTGAAACGTTTGAGCACTGGTGTGATAGCCCAAGTGGAAAATTCCATTCCATTCCTGACCTGATGTGATGGACCACAGTCAAGACACAGTGCACTGAAAATCCTGCATAAAGCCTAGCATGGTGGCACAGCTGGAAGGCTGAGACAGGAAGATCTCAAATTGAAGCCCAGCCTGTAGTGAGACTTTTTCTCAAAATTAGAAGGGGCTAGAGATGTAGCTCAGTGTGAAGGCCCTAGAACAATTTCCCAGTGACAAATAAATATTTTTTCAATTGCATTAAATAATCAATAGACTATGTGTAAAAATATAAATAAAATAAATGAAATTCACATTTAGAATGGTGTACCATCTTCATATCCAGAACACTTAAATGGTGCAAGCATTTTGGGAAAGGGATATTCATCTACTTTAAGTAGTCATGAAGGAACTCATGTACTTTTTGTTTGTGTGTTTGTCTTTTGTTTTTGGTAGTACTAAGGATTGAACCCAGGACCTTTGCTCTGAGCTATATCCTTAACTCATCACTTTTTTCCCCCCTCTTGAGACAGTCTTATTAAATTACCCACTTGCTCAGGCTAGGCTTAAATCTGTGACCCTTCTGCATCAGCTTCCAGAGTGTTAGGATTGTATAATTGTACCACCATGCCTAGCTAGAATTCATGTATTTTTTAAGAATAAAATAATTTCAAATTTTGGCCTCCACCCTCACTTGTCTTACATCAGGCAAGATGCTGTTGAGTGGCCTCAGAATATAGGTTTTGAGGCGTACATGATTTTTGCCCAGTGTTAACTCGAAGGTCTTAGTTTTTCATGTATTCCTGAACTCGTGACCTGGTTCTCTGCCTGGTGACAAGTGACTCCTGGTCCTTGCATGCAGTGGCCTGTGCTCCTGCACATCCTCTCCTGCCACACGGTTTTCCCTCTGTCTGCCTTGGAAGTAGCCAGGCCAATGGTTTGGGGTCACTGGATGCACCTGCCTGTGGTGACCTGTGTTGACACCAGCAGAACATCCCAAAGGTGTCTGCATGCCACCAGTGTGGAGGACACCCTCCCTGATCCCACAGTGACCTTCTTTCTCCCCATGAAGGATGCTGGTGTCCATTTTATAGTGATCTTACTGGGGTACATGGCAGTGGGCTCACTGGGAACCCAGCCAGATAGGAGTGGGAAGGAGTTGAGCCTGTGGTCACCAACCAGAGCAGGGGACAGGTCTTGTTTGCTTTACAAAAAGCAGCAATAAATCAGTGAGTTAGGCCAGGTGGGCTAGAAGTGTCAGGTACTCATGCGGCCAGCAGTGAAGGAACCAAGCACCTGCCTGGCCTTCCATAGGCCTGCCCGCAAGGGCAGGTGGCATCTCACTTTCTGCAGGTGGAACTGTCTGGGTTTAATGTTGAATGTTGAATGTTAAGTCTGAATGTTGAAGGATATGACCAGAGAGGTTTAGTAAATGACCACAGGGATCATGTAAAACTCTGGATGCTTCTGTTCAACCAGAGAAGGGGGAAGCTGGGCATGGTGGTGCATGCCTGTAATCACAGCCCTCTGGGAGGCTGAGGCAAGAGGATCAAAATGTGAGCCCTGCTTGGGCAACTTAGCAAGATACTATCTCAAAATAAAAAAATGAAAAGGACTGGATATAGACAGTGTAAAGGCCCTGGACTCAAGATTCAGTCCCCAGTACTGTTTAAAAAAGAAGAAGAAAAAGAGTAGGGAGGGGCAGGGGCAGAGGCAGCAGCTCCAAGGCTTGCTGGGCTCCGTGTAAGCCAGATACTTCTACAGCAGAGCCCACCAAAGCGGGTCCAGCAGTAACAGCATCCAGTGCAAGTCTCTCTGCTGGCACCAAATAATGGTCCTCTTGGACAGGACCATGTCAGTCAGTATTAATTGGGCAGCGCTCACCCTGCACTGTGAAAAGTATTTAGGAGAGGGACTGTGGATATAGCTCAGGCAAAGCACCTGCCTGGCAAGTGCAAGGTCATGAGTTTGATCCTTGGTGCCAAAAAAGGAAAAAAAAACAAACAAACAAACAAACAAACCTAAGAACCACACACTAAATAAGATAGTGTGACCCCCCCCCCAGTCTGAGGCTCTGGCTGGGGAGACCATTCATCAGGAAGGGTAAGGAGTGCTCTTGTGCTGGCCCAGCATTTTCCTCACATATCCTAACTTACGCTCCACTGCTATCCCTTTTGTGGCAAGAGAAAGAGGATCAGAGGGGTCCATAATGTGTCCCCAGACTAACCCAGGGGAGGGCTGTGTGAGGTGGAGGGCAGGGCTTGGGGGCTGGGCCTCCTCAGAGGTCAGGTTGGGTGGGTTTCAGCGGGGAATCCTGGGGCTCAGAATCGGGAGCCCTGTGATGAACCAGGAGTGTGGACCTCGGCAGTCCTGACTCCTCTCTTCTCCTGCCTTGTTCCCCAGATGACAGCAGCCCGGCTGACATGTTTGCTGTGGGGTTTGAGGAAATGGTGGAACTGAGCGCAGGGAATATTGTCAATGCCAGGTAAGGGGCTGGGCGGCGGGACTAGGATGTCCCAGAGCCGGCTGCCTGGCTGGGATCGGGTCCTGAGGTGTTCCCAGGGCCAGCCTGCTCTGGAACCAGGGTCTGTGGCCCTGAGTCTGTGGGGACTTGTGAGAGAGCTCCTTCCCTGCACTCACAAGGATGTGCTGCCCTGGTCCTCCTCCCCTGCTACCTAAGGAAACAGAAGGAGGGCCGGTTAGTGCTGTCTTCTGTGAGCTGCTCTTGCCCGGGCTATGGGATGCAGCCCATTCATTCTGCCGTGGGAAGCTGGTGTGTGAGGGTGGAGTACGGGATGGGGCAGGCTGGGAGAGCGGCTGATTCATGTTTCCTGGGGTGAGGGGAAGAAACCTGAGTGCCAGCAGTAGTTACACCTCTACTGTATGCTAGTCACAAGGAAAGACCCAAAACCCCTGAATTAACATTTGCTGTGGTCCCCAAGACTTACTCCCTCCCTAAAGTGGCCTGGTTTCATTTTAAGGAATCTTTGAATAAATAATTGAAACTGACTCTACAGAGCTCTTATAAGAGAGTTCTGAGCTAGATGTTAGGGCCTCGAGAAAAGAGCCATTGTGAAGTGGTAAGGCACAACCAAAAATATGTAGTTAGTCTTTTGGAAGAAGTAAGTCATGCTATCAAACTGAGGGGCAGGCAGGAAGAAATCAATTCTGTAAAAAGGATAGATGAAGGCCTGGGAGGCTCAATAGGTGGAAGATGTCACCTCTAGCGAACTGGAGGCAGCATCTTCTTCTCTCTTCTTTTCCAGTACCACCAACAGGAAGATGTGGGGTGAGCAGCTTCAGAAAGCCATCTCACGCTCTCATAGGTACATTCTCTTGACTTCGGCACAGCTGGTGGGCGTCTGTCTTTATATCTTTGTACGTCCATACCATGTCCCGTTCATCAGGTAAGAGCACTTCATTTATAAGCATCTGGGGAATGAGGGGTTGTGCGTCTTTGTGTTTCGTTCTGTGACTTTCTCTGGTCCCCACTCCTGCAGCAGGAATGGGGACTTGCCACTATTTTAGATAAATGGAGCAAAACTCCCAAGGGGAAAAGAAGAGGCTGAATAGAATATTGTCTAGCAATTTAAAAAACCACAATGGAAAACTCCTAAGCCAGGAAGCTAACCTTGCTTGGGAAGAGTGGTCCTTGGTTTTTATCGCTCTTCTGTGCAAGGAAAGAGTTTCTTGTCTGCATTTTGCAGACAGGAAACCTTTGACCCAGAGCGGACTGACTCATCAGGAAATGGCAATTCTTTTGTCTCCTTTCAAAAGAATTCTTAGTTGAACTTGTGTCATTTCATTATTACTTCTCCAAGGTAACAATAGTGAGTATAAGAAAGGGGAATCAAGGTTGTGTGTGTGCATGTGTGTCTGGAAGAGTGCTATACACTGGAGGAGCCCACTATTTCCTCATCTCTTAATAACTTCCTATTTATTACGTGGTCTTGTTTATGGGTGTATTAGGGTTTCCTAATAAACTCATACACAGACCTTAAGCAGATCTTTCACCTATGTCAAGTGGGACAAGACTCAGTCTGGCACCTTTGTATAGAGGGCCACCAGCGGGCCTCGTAGCACCCGGGCTCTGCACTCATATCCTTTTGTGTAACTTTGGCAATGGTTACGCCCTCGTCCCTCTGACTGTGTTTCCCTACAAATAAGACCTGACTAGATCAAAATATGCCAGCGCCGGTCAGCCACCTTTGCCTCACTTGCCATTACAGAGTAACCGCCTGAGCCAGAGGCATAATTTTCTGGTGATGACCAGCTATTAATTACAGCTGAAGTTTATTTTCCCGTTAGGTCTGATTTTCAGGAAACACAGTGTTACTAGGGCAGCTCATCTGTATCCTGGGTTAGTGGGTACAGGTTGGTTTATTATGGTCAGGGTAAAGGTAGAGGTAAACTGGGAAGGGCGCAGGGGAGGGGAGGCTCCCATTTCCAGGCATGGCTTGAGGTCTTGCCGTCTGTGCCCTTGTCTTCTTACTCTAGCTGGTTTAAAAGTTAACGCCACTGTGGCTGACTGTCACCTTCACCTTGTCTCCTGGGAAATGGGTGCGCCAGAGGCCTCCACCATCTCTGGAGCTCTCACGGAAGCATTAGGTAGTTGGCCTGTGTCTGTGGCCCTAGATCCTGCACACCCATTGTGTGCATGTGCACGTTCTGAGTTGCCACTTAAATGAACGCAGGAGCCTGCAATGCAGGAAAGTTGGCAGCTAGATGGTGGGCTGTTTCCTAATCCCAAAATGCACTCATTGCCCATCGGTCCCTCCAGGGCTGTGCACAAGTTCTGTGGCATCGGCTGGGAGGACAATGAAGTTCCTGCTGCTCCTGTTAGTGAGAGAGCTGGGGCAGATACAGGAACCATGTATCTGCCATGTCGTGGGTGCCCATGGGTTACAAGGCCAGGCCAAAGGGAAGATGTTCAAGAGCCCCCAAGAAAAAGAGCAGCCAGCAGTGAGAGGGAAAAGTCTCCTGTCCTGCGGGTCAGTGACAGCCTCGTTTCACACTCTAACCTTGGCTACAGAGCATATAGTTACAGACTTCTCAGTTGAGATTGAGGGGTGCTGCGAGCACAGGCCTCAGACTGCTGCTGGATATTTTTGTAGCAAAAGAAGTTTATGCTTCCCTGCAGCTCACAGAATGTGCATGTTCTTCTGTTGCAGGGATGTGGCTATTGACACAGTGAAGACCGGCATGGGGGGCAAGGCAGGAAACAAGGGTGCTGTGGGCATTCGCTTTCAGTTCCACAGCACCAGCTTCTGCTTCATCTGCAGCCACCTGACAGCCGGGCAGTCACAGGTGAAGGAGAGGAACGAGGACTACAGGGAGATAACCCACAAGCTGTCCTTCCCCGCGGTGAGCAGAGCTGGCGGAGCCAGGCCTGGGGCACACAGCTGCGAGTAGGGCCCCTGCACCTGAGGGTGTAGGGCTGGCTGGGGACAGATGAAGGGTTGTCCCTGGAAACCACCTGGGATCCTGTGATAGAGGGACAGCCTCTTGGTTTTCTGTCTCCTCCCTCTCCATCTCCTGGGGATCCTTACACAACCTAGATTGTTGCAGGTGCATTTTCATGATTTTCTGATTCAGTTGATGGAAAAAGGGAGAGAAGAATATTTGAATCTGAACAGTTACAGGCTTTCATTTTCTTGGGGATACAGCTGCAGCTCAGTGGTGAGTGTATGGTTAGCATGTATGAAGCCCTAGTTTCAATCTCCATCACTAAACAAGAATAAGGATTTAATTTTCTTAAGATCCACAGTCCTTGCACTTGGATTGTGGTTCAGCCAAGAACTCTTCCTTTTTTGAATCAGGAAATCATGACTGAAGGCCAGAACCCCACCTCTAGGCTGACATGACCAATAATGCATGCCCAGGCTGCCCTCTAGTGGTAGCTCAGAGGTGTGTATGCAAAACCTTGTGGACTTAATTTCAAAATTTAATGTTCTTCCCATTCAAAGCTGATTTCCTGCATGCCTTCAGCCTGGTGTGTATCCGTCACTTTCACCTCCTGTACCCCAGAGGGAGGACTGTTCACTAATCTTGCAGAGTCTGAAAAGTGCTATCTGAGTCTTAGAGCTCATCTCTGGGAGCAAGACCATTAAAACTGATATTCCACCAGCCAGGTGGCACACATATGCAGGTTTTCATTAATAATCTTTATATCTTTTATTTCTTGTGTTAAAGAAAAAAACAAATGAGTTGGGAATTTTCAATTTTTGTGTGTGGCTAAAAAGTCCAACACTTTTCACTTGAAAAGTGCTATTTTGAAATAATAATTCCTAATGACTAATGAGCTTATGACAGGAAATATATATGTATGCACACACACATATATTGTATATTGAAGGTGCCTATAAGTTAATACTCCTACAGGTGCCCAGGACGATAGCCACTGGAGCCATTTAAATTAATTGAAGTCACCTGTACTGGCTGCAGTGCAAGTTTTGAGTGCACAATGGGCCGTACAGGAAGTGTATTTCTACCTCAGGGGGGAGTTCTCTGGTTGTCCACAAACTTGGTGTATTGGGTTGTGGCTGTCTTCATCCTCTATTCAGATTATCTTCATGGGATGAAGGAAGAGACACATTCCATAGTGAGGGCACAGAAATGAGTGTAGGATATAAACCCATCTGGATTCAGATCTCTCCTTTATCATGCACCATCTGTGCACCCTTAAGTAACAGTGATTCTGAATTTTTTGTTTAGAGCCCATAGTATCCACCCCACAGGGACTGCTGTGGGGACCGCACAACTTTCCCTGTGGAAAGTTGATGGGTAGCCACTGTTGTCATTGAGACTGAGGGGAGGAATTCTTCAGAGCTGAGAAGGGCACCGTGGGCTCCTGGTGACCGAGCAGGATTAGAAGGAAGCGTGAGGTTGTTGCTGGAAAGTCACAGAACACAATCCATGCAGTCTGCAAAGCTGCGTGTTGTCATGTTCTGCTGCTTTCCTCACACCTAGTTTTCATGATGCCATTTGTAGGTTTTTAGGATACACAGAACAAGAACACAGCCTGGCACTCAGGACCGGAATCTGTGGTCATGCTTTTCAGTTAGAGATGGAGCTTTGTCTGAACCATTCCAGAACACTAGTATTTAAAACAGAGAAGCAGACCATGTAAAAAAATTCTCCAGTAGGTTTATGGGATTAGTGGCAAGTGAGAATGATCTAGTGGAAAACTTAATGGCAATATTTTAAGAAAAATGCTTCTGCTCGCTTCTGTCTGGTGAAATTTTCTCTTCCCCCTCCCACCTTCCTCAAAAGGTGAGCTAGAATGACTGTGATTTTCTTTACAACTCAGGGGAGAAATGTGTTTTCTCACGATTATGTGTTTTGGTGCGGCGATTTCAACTACCGCATTGATCTTACTTATGAGGAAGTCTTCTATTTTGTTAAACGCCAAGACTGGAAGAAACTTTTGGAATTTGATCAGCTACAGCTGCAGAAATCAAGTGGAAAAGTAAGTTGTGTTTTTACGATACTTTTAACTGCATTCGGTATGGAATGCCATCTACTAAACATACATGCTAGTGTTCAGCAAAGTAAGTCTCACTTGTGGTATTTCTGGAGTTGTATGAAGCACCCAGAGCTTCTGAAGATAGGGATACAGGAGTATCTATTCACACATGCTTATGTCTTGCCCTAAGCTGGGTTTGGCTGGCCACATACAGGGTCCGGGCATCTTCCCAGGGCCTGAGGGGTGATCACTGCACAAAAGCCACTGCAAAGCACTTAATCCAGCAGCAGGAGTGCTAGCCTGGGTCTCCCCAGGGAGTGGCTTTGCTGAGTCATAGCGACCTTCGAGTGGCCCTGAGGTCAGTGTCCCTGAGTTGGGATCAAAGGCTGATGTATTTAGGTCTCTGTACACCAAATCCACCCTGTGCCTCATGCTCAGGTGCAGTGTTTTTAGAGACAGACACTATAAACTACTAAGGGGCACTTCACACTGTGTTCAAAGTTTGGTAATGTCTCTATTTCTTGGTGCTAATAAATTAAAGTAGTACTTTAGACACCAGTTTATGCATGTAATCCTCAAGGTTGCCTTATAAATTAAGTGTTGTAACTTTTTATTGACAAAGAAAACTGAACACAAAGTCAAATTACTAATCCAGGGTCACACTGCCTGCTGCAGGGCTCAGGCATGGTCTTCATGTCATGGGCTTAGTAGGAAAGGTTCTACAGAATCTGTCACTACCTCTCAAGGTCATAGCCAGCTTCCAGATGTTCTGATTATTCTCCCCTCCAGCTAGCACCGCTGCCTGATTTCAGGATCTGTTAGCGTCCCAGGACGCACCGAGGCAGGGAGCCACACTCACTATCTTTGGAGAATGGAGTAGGTTAGACATGCGAGGTTGGAGAACCTAAATTCCCTCTCCAGAAGCAAGGGTGGGACCTTCTGTCACCCAGCCCTGCTAGCGTGGGGATCTCGGAGTGTGGCTGGATGGACAAGAGGCACCAGACTTCCTAGGAAAGGTTCTCCGTCCCTCTCTTCTCCTGTTTTGCCTGGCATGTGGAAGGGGTGGCCCTGTGCTCCTGGGCCTTCCCACAGTGTGGAGCCCAGGCTCAGCGGAAATGAGCTCAGTCCATTCAGTAGGCTCCAGCAGATCCAAGTGCGTCAGAGATGAGCACAGGGTGGGCCCACACCCTTCTGTCTTCCAGGGGGTGAAGCCAGAAGTGATTGGAGGAGACATAGGAGAGGAGGTACCGAGGGGCTGTGTCAGCGGGTTGAGTACAAAGTCACCTGTTCTTTGCTAATTAAAAGGCACACATCTGTCCAGTGTAAGACTATTTGCACCTGTAATACAGATTATGTTACTCCTTTAGGGCTAGAACACTCTGGAATGTGCCTCCCCTCCCCCATGGTGTGGTTTTGTGACTTTTCTCCCAATAGATTTTTAAAGACTTTCATGAAGGAGCCATTAATTTTGGACCCACCTACAAGTATGACGTTGGCTCCGCTGCCTACGACACGAGTGACAAATGCCGCACCCCAGCCTGGACAGACAGAGTGCTGTGGTGGAGGAAGAAGCGTCCTTTTGATAAAACTGGTGAGTGAGGCAGCCATGCTGAAGAGCCAGGGGAGGGTACACGCTAAAGGCCATCGAGGGGACAAAACCAGTCACACAGCCCAGTGCTCAGGTGCAATTTTCCTGATAACTCAGATGATAAAGATTACTCCAGATGGTAAACCCTTTGGGAGCTGCGCTTTGAGAGGGCCCCTTCTGACCTCTGGACTCTGCGACCTACTAGCAGGCCTGGCCTGACTTTGCCATCTCTGAATCACAGCTGCTTTGCCCCACCCTCTGTCCTTTATCTTGGGAGAAACAGAAACAAAATTATCGGTGCCCGCCTCTTTCGCATTCAGTATTTTTACAGCCCGTTTTGTTCAGCCAAACTCTCATCTGCTGAAGGTCCCAATTCCAAATTGAGCAGGAGCAAGACCTAGTAAAAATAAGAGCATTTTTAAAAATCCATTGATCACTGAGGAGGTTTTAAATAATTATTGATGCCCAACTGGGAAGGAAGATTTGTTTGGCACCTTAAGCTTGTAAACGTAATCAGCATTGCACGGTTTGGGAGAGGCATTGACTGAGATTTCAAAGCCAGGCAAATACATCTGCCGATAAATGCCCTTTCACATGGGTTCATGAGCACCTTTGTGGCCCAGCACGCAGAGGCAGGAGCAGAAAGAGTTCTGGCTTCCAAGGCACAGCACCTGCCACTGTGTGAATGGCCCACGTGCCTGTCATTGCTGGGCCCTCAGTGGAAACGTGGCAACAGGAGCAGCTGCATTCCAGGCCACAATTAGCCCACCAGGGAGGGTGGTAGGCAGTCATGTTCATGGCTGTTCTGGGTCATCTACGAGTAACTGCTGTAGCCATAGGCCCGAAGCAACTGAAGCCCAGGTTCAAGCTCCAAGGGCTAAAGCCAGGGAGCCTGAGCCTCAAGATGGTTTGGGACAGAGCTCAGCTGAGGATTCGTAACCGCACTGTGTGTACTAATACAGTTTTGTGTTACATTTGGGTCTCTTGAATGAACTCCTGTGCATAGCTGGTGAACTCAACCTTCTAGACAATGATCTAGACCGCGACACCAAAGTCCGGCACACCTGGTCTCCGGGCACGCTCAGGTACTACGGCCGCGCAGAGCTGCAAGCATCTGATCACAGGTACAGTTCTTTTTGGGGAAGGCAGTATGTCCAACCCCACAGGAAGCCAAGATGCTGTGCCTACAGGGTGTGTGTGTGTGTGTGTGTGTGTGTGTGTGTGTAAGACACATTAACGAACAAGGACGAATACAACAAATACCTGTGTAGCCATTGAGAACTAATAACTTGGCATTTTGTTTTCACTCTGCATCATAAATAATATCATTCAAAAATAAAATGTTTATGTTTTATGGTTTTAAATGTTAAGTGATCTTGCTGCATAGCCTGGCTTTGTTATTATTTTCAAGATTCAGTCATGTTGGTAATCAGTAATCGGGCTCACTCATTCTGCTACCCACCATTCCTCTAAACAGACCCGTGCAGGTCACCCTTTCACTGATCGATGAATATTTTTTCTAGTATTTTGTTATTACAAACACCAAACATTTTACCTCTAGGGATTTGGAGATATTAAATACTCTACATTTTTGCAGCAGCCTTGGGGACCGCACACAGAGTGGGAAGAGGCAGCAGACCGTGAGGAGGATGCTGTCTAATGACAGCTGTGGTACCTCACACACCAGAGGGTGGCATTTGAGGGTGAATAAGGAAGAGTTTGATCCTCTTATGGCTGCTACCAAACCTACTATAATTTCAACTCCTTCAGAGAAAGAAATGAAATAAGGTGGTGAGCAAGAGTTGGTCAGCTAATAGTAGATCTAAATCTTTACAGACCTACACATTTTTAGATGTCTGTTGTTGCTGGAACACCAGAGATATGTACCCTGTGACTCTTCCAGTGTATGACTTTGAGTTTTGCTAGTTAGAGGAATATAGTTAGAAACCTTTATCTAGCCAGCATCTATTGAGAGATCTTATGTGCTAGCTCTCTTTCTAGCACTAGAGGTTAAGTAGCAAGCAAAACAGGTAAGATCATGGTCTCATGGAATTTTCTAGAAGGGACAAATAATATACCAGAAGAAAACAATAGTATAGAAGTCAGGTGAAGCTTGGTGCTGTCTTCTCCCTGCTGTTCAGGAAAGGCCTCTGCTTAGATGGTCTCAAAGCAAGGCTGGACAGGAATGTGGCTGCCTGAGGGGCAGCATTCCCAGTAAGCATGAGGAGACCAGGAGGACAGAAGGGCTGAAACACAGAGGGAGGGGGAAAGCCATAGCACTGAGGCAGACAGGAGCCCCAGGCCCTGAACACTTAGTTGAGGAGATTTGAACAGAATCTCCTGAGGAGACTCCAGCAGGGCCAGAGTGGAAGCGAGGAGCCAGGCAGCAGCCATCACAGTGAGTGGGGAAGAAGCAGTGGTGGCTTTGGAAGAGAGCCCCAAGGGTCCTGGAGGTGGTGTTCTCCGAAGGTGTCCTGGTTGCTGCCTGTGTCAGGCGTTCATACCTTGTCATTGCTGAGTGAATAAAAGCTGCCTGCCTCAGGTATTCCTGTTAGAGCTGGCGGCATGTGAGGCAGAAAGGTGTTCATGCACAAGTCTTCTGAATTCACTCAGTGTGTATCCCCAGTAAAAGTTTTCTCAGCCATCTTTTTTCTTGCCATAGATGGAAAAAAAAATTAATGACAAGGTCCTGCCCTCATCTCTTAACTTTTGTAGTATTCTCTGGTTTTACCATGGGCATGTTTTGAGATGCAGTGTCCCTGTGTTGCACATGCTGGCCTTGAAGTCCTGGGCTTACGTGTTCTAACCTCTGTGTCCCTAGTAGCTGTGACCGTGAGTGTGCACCACCACCTGGCAATAAATTTTTTTTTCTAGTGCTGTGCCTCACACCCAGGTCCTGGCCAGGCAAATGTTTACAACCATGCTGTACCCCATCCCTGTCACCATATTATATAATATTTCATATTTTTTATAGCTGCTTAACATGATATTGTAAATCTTTAATAAAATTACATCATTCTCATCATAACCCATAAACCTCAGCCTTGTATCCTGGTGACCAGTTTTCCTGTGTGTAGGTGTGTCACAGATACCTGCATTACTCCCTGTACCCACACAGCGTACTGTCTGTGGGTGCATCATGACTCCCTACTAGGAAACAGGGCCATCATTTCCCTTTCCCTCTCCCATCGACAGTGCTGGGAACAGTCAAGCTTTGTCTGAATCTCTGGCCAGTTCCATAGAATAAAGTCCTAGATATGAGATACTCAAAAGAAATGAACACTTTTGAACTTCTTATTCCAAGTTGCGAGGTGGCCACGTGAAATGCTTGACTGTTCTGGATCATCAGTGGAGTGGCTGCTTCTCGCCACTCGAAGCAGGACTAGGGATTGCAATGTAACAGATTTTTGCTGATGGCTGGGGATTTTCTAATACTGGATTCCATTGTTGAAGTACTGCCGACCCTTAGATAAGCATGCTACAAGACTAGAGAAAGATGACAATCAAACTCTGGGGCAGAGCAGCCAGCCTGCAGACTCAAAGCACACTCTGAGGGCCAGGGGACCAGGCCTGGGGACCATGATGTGACACTGCTGCTTGGGCTAACCGTTCTCTGCCCTCTCCCCATGTCTGATGCAGACCCGTGCTGGCCATCGTGGAGGTGGAGGTGCAAGAAGTCGACGTGGGTGCTCGGGAGAGGGTTTTCCAGGAAGTGTCCTCTTTCCAGGGCCCTCTGGATGCCACTGTTGTTGTAAACCTTCAGTCCCCGACCCTAGAAGAGAAGAATGAGTTTCCTGAAGACCTACGTACTGAGCTCATGCAGACCTTGGGGAATTACGGGACAATCGTCCTTGTGAGGTAACCTCTGCCAGTCGGATGTGGGCTTGGGGGTATGCAGTGTGGGAATACAGGCTCAGGAGCTGTGGGAGCTGCTGAGGCATTCTTGGTGCTGACATGACCTATCTGCGTATTTCAGGATCAACCAGGGACAGATGCTGGTGACTTTTGCAGATAGTCACTCGGCTCTCAGCGTGCTGGATGTAGATGGAATGAAGGTAAGTAGCGTTGGAGTCACCACTTGGCTACAGTATGAACCTGACCTGACCCATGTGTGTTGTTCTTTGATTATGTCTTCCCCTCTTCTCAGAATTTGTCATTTTTTTATCCCCTGTACAAGAGATTGAACACTGAGTTCAAACTGAATCTCCAGCCTGTTTTAGAGACCGTTCTATTTCTCCAGTGTCTCATAGCCAGCCCTGGAGACTTGTAGAATCTGGGGAGTCTTAAGAGCAGACTTAGAGTATGGCTCCTGCTGGTGTGTCTTGCTCATGTCTCTGTGCAGGAGAGGTTCCATCTTTGAGACTGTGTTTCAGAACATGCAGTTCATAGGTAATTTCTTGGGTTTGTTTTGGTTTTGGTTTATTTACTCTTCAGAATGGATTTTTATTCAGAGGCTATGAAGTAGTGAAAGAAGAAAGTAGAATCACCAAGCATGACCTAGTTGTTTTCCAAAAAATAGTGAGGAAAACAGGAGCCAAGATCGGGTTAATCAGATGAAAATAGGGTTTTTCCAGTTTGAATAAACTTGCTACTCTTTTAGGCCAGTATTTGTATGGCCTATTTGTCTGCCATAGATCTTAATGTCTCTGTCTCTTTTGATGTTCCTTCCCTTCTTCACAGCCCTCTAGTAGTGGAACATCCTCATCTTCTTCCATGCTTGTGTCCTTGGTAATTGGTCTGGAGGCCTTCCTTTGCCCCTCTAAACCCACTCCTGCTTCTCTGCCTGCTCTTGGTCCTAGGAGGTGCCCTGCACAGACCCTATCAACAGGCTTCCTTGGCCTTCAGTTTTTCTTAGAGTTGACCAATAGAAGAAAAAGAGAAGGAGAGTGAGAGACTGGAGTATTTCCTCAGCTCTTGGTCTTGTGGGTCACCTCAGCTTGGTTGAATTGACTGAAGATCACGACTTTCATCAATATCTTTGGGTTTTCCTCTTCTGGGTCTAGTAGCAACTTCCTGTCCTTGTCCTTTCCAGGATTTGTAGAGGTTTCAGTCCATAGCCGCCTGGCTCCAAGGCAGGGCAGCAGGTCAGAGGAGAGGCAGTCCACAGCAGGGCAGGCAGAAGACAGCAACAGCAAGTGGCGAGCAATGAAGTGGGCCTCCCTTTCCCTTTTATCTCATCCAGGTTATAAGTCTCTTGGCTGATGCCTCCCACACCCAGGATGGAGCTTCCCATTATCCAGACCCAGACCTTTACTAATTCCAGTCAGTGGACTAATTTAGTGCCACACACCTTAATCTCAGTATCAATAGATATCCCTAGATCCAGCCAGCTCCGAGAAGCCCCACCTAGGAGCACATGAGAATTTAGGGGGACATCTAGATACACCATGGCCCCCAAAATGCACATCCCTTTATGCAAAAAGCATTTAGTCATCTCTAACAGTTGCCAAAAAGTCCAGATCCAAAGTCTTCTGAGATTTAAGGCAAACTATTAGCTGTGAGTCCCTGAACAAATGTAAAGAAAGTTAAACACTTCCCATAGATTCTATTGTGATAAAACCTTGATTTTGAATTTATACAAAATGAAATGCTGGTGATGATAGTTCCCAACTTTATTTAGACCAAATGTGTGGAAGTTGTGTTGATCCTTCCTGGGGTCTAGAGCCTCAATTTTTCTTAGTAAAATAGGGAGATGGGCTTTGCATCTGTGCAAGGAGCACTTTCTGACCATGGGGAATACAGTGACATTTATTTATTTTTTAAAATATTTTTTGGTACTGGGGATCGAACTCAAGACCTTGCACTTACCAAGAGGCACTTGTCCGCTGAGCTAGATTCCCGGCCCCTGCAGCGACCATTACATTGTTCCCACTTGCTATACTGCCCTCACAGGTGAAAGGCCGAGCAGTGAAGATTAGACCGAAGACAAAGGATTGGCTGAAAGGTTTGCAAGAGGAGCTCATTCGAAAACGGGACAGCATGGCTCCCGTGTCCCCCACTGCCAATTCCTGTTTGCTGGAGGAAAACTTCGACTTCACGAGTTTGGACTATGAGTCAGAAGGTTAGTGACCTACAGGAGGGGCAGGAAGCAGCTGTCTGGCAATAGCAGGCAATTCTGGAGGCCTCTCCTAAAAGTCTGCCTTGCAGAGGTGATGAGGGATACTTAGAGTGCCAGCACCACACCCATGGTGCAGTGCACGTGTGTGTGGATGGTGCAGGAAATGGTAAAGGGACCAGAGACCTCCAGTCTGACATGAACAGTAGTTTTGAGACTGGTGTAGGGGGGCTGGCGCTGGGCACATGCCCACTGCGGGGTGCTGAGACAGCCTAAAAGGCTGGGCTGTTGAACTGGAATTGTTTTCAGCCTCACTGTGATGCATTCCTCCTCAAGGGGATGTTCTAGAAGATGATGAAGACTATTTAGTGGATGAGCTCGGGCAGCCTGTGGTCTCGGACAGTGAACTAGGGGGCGACGACCCACCTGATGCCCCCAGCTTCACAGCAGTGGCACCTGCCAGCAAGTCACCTGCCCTGACAAAAAAGAAGCAGCGTCCAACGTACAAAGGTAGCGTGGCCCTCCTTTCCTCACCAGAGCTGGGACAGTGTCCTTCTGTCCATCACAAGAGCATGCAGGTCCTGGAGAGGCCCAACTGGGAAAGCACAGAGTGTGAAACCAAGCTCTAGGCAAGACTCCGGTGCCACGTGCTGACTTCCACTGGGTCTTTCTTTCTTTTTTTTTTTTTTTTGTACCCCCACAGAACACTGCATTCCTCTTTCCTTTGTGTAGTCTAGTGGCCACAGCCTCAACTGGTTTTACATTTGTGATTTTTCCCCCCTGAATCTTCTTGATTCAATTCCTTAAGTGATATTCAATATCTATATGCCAATGCATTATTTCATACACATAGTACTATAATTCATGCAGTCATATTACACAGCAGCATCTACTGTATCCTTTTAGCCTTGAAAGGAACTGAAAAGCCATATGGCATGAACTGAATAACCCTGGCATCTTTTGAATAAGCTTGAAAACGGAACAGCTTTACACAGGTAGAAAGTAAAGTAGTTCACATTTCAGCCTTAGACTAAATTTACGCTGTTCTATCCAAAAATGCCTCCCGCCATCGGTCACTGTCCTGGTGAAGGGCTGCATCCTCCACAGGTCAAAGGGCTCAGCATGTGTTGGGACCATTGAGCTGGCACTGGGGCAGAGGACAGGGCTTCCAGTGCATCGGTGGTCCTCAGAGAGAATGCCTTGTTGGGAGAGGTATACAGACCCTTATGCCCCTTGGACCACAGAACAGTCTCCAGATCAACCTGTAGCTTACCTGTCTGGAACCATATGGAGCCCCCAGATTTACAGAGGGCTGGGCCTCACCTTAAGGCCTTGGGTTAGGCAGGGGTGGGATGGCATCCAGCATTTCATGAAGTGCCCTGGGTGAGTGTGATGCAGTGCTAGGTTTGGAGGTGCTGTCCAAGGCAAGAGCAGCAGCCTCCACTGGGATGTCGGGGTGACCTGTGTGTGCCCAGGTCACAGGCCCCAGTGCTGGCATGGAAGTGGCTGAAGGCTGTGCTTTTCAGAGGCCTTTTCTCCGGGGTGGCCATCACCAGGCAGCCTCTGGGAACCAAGACAACTCTGATAGTGCAGAAGTCTCTGGAGTAAAGAAACCAATAAGCAACAGGGGGCTGGGGCAGGCCTGGCCGCTGGTGGGCATTGAGAGGGGATCTTCTTTATGCTATGTGGTGTTCAACCATTCCGGAGAAGGAATTCCACCGTCTGCCCCATTCCAGCCCCCCCAGACACTACATGAGGTTGATCTCTTGGACTTAAGGAAAAAGATGGCCAGGCCAAGATGAAGTAAACAGGGCTATGCTGCATATGGGGAAGCAGACCTATGTCTGCCCTGGGTTTATATGCTACAAAACAGAAACAAGCATCTCTGAGGGTCCTTTTTGGGCTCTTTGAAGGGACTGTGAAGTCCAGCATGGTGGCACACACCTGTAACTTCAGCACTGCGGAGGATGAGGCAGGAGGATTGTGAGTTCAAGGCTAGCCTGGGCTACAGAGTGTGACGTTGTCTCAATAAAAAAGGAGGTACTTGGCACAGGAGGTGGCTGGCAGAGGTTTCTGGTATTTAGGAGCTTGCCATTAGAGAAGACTAGTATAAGAGGAAGAATACTCTCAACTTCCAACACAGTGGTCACATTTCGAGTAAGAAATTACCCATTACTCTTCCCGGTAGTCAGAGGAATCTTTAGGGACTGTGATTTCCACTGTCTCCTCTGCGGAAGTCTAATTGATAAAAGCAGAAGGAAATAGGCCTTGTGCACAGTTCACTCGTGTTCCAAGCAGGTGCCGGGCACCCTCACCGGAGCAGAAAGGGATGCTGTCCCCAGCCTGGCCCTCTGCTTCCACGCACAGACCGGGTCTGAGCCGCCTGTGCCTGGAAAACTCTGTCTTACTCACACCTGCCATGTCCTCCAGACGATGCTGACCTGGTGGAGTTAAAGCAGGAGCTGGAAGCTGTTGGGGATTTCCACCACCGCTCTCCAAGCAGGTCTCTATCGGTCCCCAATAGGCCACGGCCACCTCACCCGCCACGGAGGCCACCCCCTCCAAGTAAGACCTCGTTCGCTCGCTTGCACCTTTGCCACGATGCCTGCCGGGAATAACCGCACAGCTCCTGCAACTGAACGAGGGACTCTAAACGGGCTTCTTCCACCCTGCCATGTGCTTCTCCTCACCGTGCCCTCCTGTGTGTCTCAAATTCAGAATGTCTTTGATTGCACAAGTGGCTGGGTTTCCCTTGTAGCACAAGCAAGTCCCCAAGCAGCTCTGCTTTGCCTGTAGCGGCCTTCAGCCCGAAACCTTTAGAGTAAAAAATTGGAGCCACAGTGTCACAGGGGACTTTTCTAGCTTGTCAGAGTCAGGAGCTTCCTTCCTTGACTACCCCTGGCTCTCTCCCTGCTGCTTAGGAGTCTGGTCAGCTGAGGTCCACCCCTGGGCATGTCTCTGACCCAGTCACAGTGTGTGGCCTCCTGTCCTCGTGGTTCTCACCCTCAGAGCGAGCCCTACCCTGGCTGGGTCTCATACCATAGCACAGTGTTTTCTTTTGGTGCCTAAGCCAATGGTTAGGCTGTCAAACTGGCCTTAATAACCAGAAAGTAAAGTTGTGATACATTTTTCATCAGCTTCTATTTTATCACCACAGTTCACTTGCTCTCCCCAAAAGCACTACAGTGAGACATCAGTTTTCCTGTGCCATGACTTTCATAACTGAGTTACTGTGCATAACATCCCAGTAATAAGGGCAAGCCAAGAAGCACGTAACTTTTTGAAGCATACTTTTGCTTTTCCAAACTTGTACTCAGAAAGTAAAAGAAAATATAATGTAAAAATAACAAAAATAACCCTTAGCTGGGCTTGTTGGTGCACTCCTGTAATCTCACTATTTGGGAGGCTGAGGCAAGAGGATCACAAGTTCAAATCAGCGTGAGAAAATGAGACCCTATTTCAAAATATAAACATTTTAAAGGGTCTGGGGAAGTAGCTCAATGGTAGAGGACTTGCCGAATACCATGCTTGAGTTCCTTGGTTCTACCCAATCCCTAGTACTACAAAAATTTAAAAAATAAAATTTATTTTGTTAGCATATATGCATTTATAAAAATTCATAGGTACACTTAAAATATATGTGTTTAAGTATGTAAATTCATGTCAATTTTTATTTTAGATTAGTACATGTGTACGTAACGTGTGCATTCCTTGTGGGAAGTTGGTTCATTATGTAACACATCTTCTGCTTTTTCTGCATCCCCTTTCCCTTCCTTCCTCCATCCACCCTTAGTCCATGTCCTTATCTTTTTTGCTTGCAGTAAATGCTGACATTCCCTGTGTGGAGTTGGCACATAACCGATCCCAATTCCAGTTTTTCACCCTTTCTCTATTAAGAATAGTATCTCCCTGTTTCCTATTATCTATTTTTTATTTTGCTCTTTTAAAATAAAATTTATAAATCACACCTTGAAGATTTTTATGGTGAACTATAAAAAAAGCAATTTTAAAATTTACATGACTACCTGCAGATAATTGTTGTTAACCAAAAAACTTTATCCAGTTGCATATGCCTGTAATTACACATAATTTTCAAAAATCACGTTGATATCCATTTTGTGGAGTCATTTGTCTTTCATGCCATGTGTCATGTTTTCTGTGTCATTAAAAATTCTCAAACATGACTTGTTGATGGCTATAAGCACAATGTAACACTGTTCATCTCAGATTTGAGTTTATTTTTGTTTCTCCCACCCCAATTTTTTTTTTAAAAAACTTGGGACTAGTAGTAGTATGTTTAAAAAAAATAGTATTTTAAACCACTTTAAAATTGATTTTTTTATATCAAATTAGAATCCCCAGGGTGTTAGATTTAAATTTCCCCTCAATTCATGCTTCCCCAGAGGATCCACATTAGTAGGCTGGACCACTAGAGAATTGAGAGACGCTTAGGGGGTGGGGCATGGTACTGGGGTGGAAGCCAGGGACCCCTGCATGCTCAACAAGCACCTTATCTCTGTTGCACCCTGACCTCAGAAGAACCTTCAGCGTCCTCGCAGAATCCGCGCTGTGTGAACATCACAGCCTCCACACAGCCAAGTCTGCCTGCACAGCCACTTCCTGCAGCTGTTTGCAGTTAACAGGCCAGCTGTGACATTGCTGGGGCTGAGGCTCTGCTCTCGTTGGGTTTTTACAGCTGGTTTGATGGTGAAGAAGTCTGCTTCAGATGTGTCCATCTCCTCCGGCACCCACGGGCAGTATTCGATTTTGCAGACAGCAAAACCCCTGCCAGGAGCACCGCTACAGCCGGTGAGTCTGTGTATTCAGCACCAAGGACGCCGGTCTGCTTCGTGGCCAGAGGGCCTAAGCCAGAGGCCACAAGGGAGTGCATCTTCTCAGGGGTAACAGGTCCTCCCTGTATTCTGCATCTTGCAGACCCTGTCTCCCCAACCCCTACGCTGGTTAGCAGCCGCTCCACAGGTTGTAAGTGGTTCTAGAGAAAGCTAGCTTGGGTAATAATTTTAAGGACCCTAAAAGGCAGGAATGCTGGCTTCCAGGTGTCTGTTCCTCTTCTTTCAAGTCTGGATTTTGCTCTTCATCTACAGAGCTTCCATTGGTAGAAGGGAGATCAGGAGAAATTCAGACCAGTCATAAAATGATGGTCATGGTTAGCTAGAGAAGAGGCTAAAGAGAGACCTCCTGGACCCAGAGAATGGAGTAGAGGAGCCCACCAGAGGGCAGCAGAGGCAGGGGTGGGGACACAGGGCTCGAGGAAGAGATGGAGGGCAGTGAAGCCTGGTGCTGCCAGGACAGCAGACACACACCGGGAAAGCTGGTCCAGGCAGGTACCCACAGTCACTACAGGTGAAGGGGTCAACTGGATGCCAGTCATCTACAGTGATGTAGGCGGTCCTCAGAGAGGCTGAGGAGGTAGAAAATGCGCTTTTAAGGAAAGTGTATCTGGACAGTATTTCAGTGCTCAACTAGGCCATGAAAGGTGTGGCTCTGATTCTGCGGCCTGACTTTTATCTGGCTACTGAGATAAAGACAGAAGGTGGGTTTGCCCCCAATGTGGAAACCTGTCACGGGAGATGTGAGATGTCATTGCATTTCGCTTGGAATGGGCACACTCCAGGGTGCAGGAAGTTGAGGGTTAGATATGTGTTAGACGCTACATGTTCTTGTCACCTGTTGATGAGGCTCTGTACCCCGCACTCCTGTGTGGTGACCAGCAGGCGGTGAATGCACCAGGAAGGCTGTCTTCCTACCTGTGCTAATACATTTCTCTTCTAAATTCTGTCCTCAAGCCCAAAGCTAGGACTGGAATAAGCAAACCTTACAATGTCAAGCAGATCAAAACCACCAATGCTCAGGAAGCAGAAGCAGCCATCCGATGTCTCCTGGAAGCCAGAGGAGGTAAGTGGGCTTTGGGTCCTCCCTGGTTAAGGAGGAAAATGGACTCCTTTTCATCCTCCTACTAAAGTGACCTAGAAAAGAATGTGACTATTTTGGAGGCAGAATTAAATAAAAGTATCCTTTCACAACTGTTTGTTTATTTAGATTTAGTGTCCATTTAAAATTATTTCTTTGAAGTTCAATGACTATAAAAAGCCTAGAATTATTAAGCGGCGTTTAAGGAAAAAGTGAACAAACTAATGCTTTTAAAAGGTTAATGTTGCAGGTGCTAACCCATTCTGCCTACTCTTTTCAAAAGAGGCAATTGGGTTGTGCATCTTTATTTGAGGCACAAAATCCTCATTGTGAATCACTGGCAAGTGTACATGAATTCTGTCCTGTAAGGCAGGAGTCTCCTGTCTGCTCACGGTTAATTTTTTGTTGCTGTTACTTGTCTTAACCTATCTTACTTACCCTGTTTTACCTTAAGTCTCCTCCATTCCTTCATAAGCACTGCCAGCTAACATTTGTTGTTTTTGTTTGGCTTTGCTCCAGTATATGTTGTTCAAAAAAAAAGTGAGATTATGCCCTTTGACTAGGCATATGCTAGTCTGGCATAATGGAGCGCACCTGTAATCCTAGCACTCAGGAGACTGAGGTAGGAGGATCACTGAGTTCGAGGCCAGCCTGAACTGCCTAGTGAGACCCTATCTAAAAAAAGACCAAAGACAAAAAAATAAAATACATGCATTTACAATCACCTAACTTGCTTTTAGCTAGTAAATTTAACCTCAAATAAGACTTAAGGATAACTTGAGTTAGAAGTCTAAGAAACACTCTTGTAGGATTATATACTATAGATTTTTTAAATAAAAAAAAATTGTGGATATAACAGTTCACTTGTCCATCAACTGATAAAATACAATGTATCTATACAACAGAATATTATTCAGCCATAAAAAGAAACTACTGATCCATGCTACATCTTGATGAACTTTGAAAATGTCATACTGAGACACAAACTTTACAATCCATTTATATGATATGTCAAGACAGCAAATCCATTGAGTCAGAAAGCTGTTAGAGTCCAAGCTAAAAGGAGGGAATGTGCAGCAACTGAAGTAAGTGTGGGGTTTATTTTTTAGTGATAGAAATTTTCTGGAACTGAATAGAGGTAATACTGTGCAAGTTTTCAAATGCAGTATATTAAAAACACTGAGTGGGGCTCTTAAAGTGGATGAATTTTATGGTGTGTGACTCACATTTCAATAAAACTGTTCTTTTTAAAAGGTTGTAGAGATGTAGATGTTAGTAATGGCTTGAGGTTTGAAATCTACCACAATCGTAGTTTAATGTTTTCTTGATCTTAGGCCCATGCATGCATTACTTTGATGCATTATATTTCTCCCCTGAGAAGTGTAGCTATGCAGGAAGCTTTACAGATGCATCACATCTCACTGATCTCCCATCAGGACCATTCTTAGATGCCAGGTCCCCTGTCGAGAAGATGAGCTTGTAAAGCAGGAGCTAGACCTTGTTGGTTGGTCCAGATAATCCTTCAGGATTTTTGTTTTAGGGGGAAAAGAAAGAATTACATTGAATCAGTAAGATATAAACTTGTCCAAAGATTAAATCATGCAGTGGATTATCTCTTGTCCTCACACTGAGCCACAGGATTTTATATTTCAGGCACCCCAGAAGAGGCTGTAAATGCCATGGCCCTGAGGGACCAAGGGTCCTCCAAGCCAGAGACCTCCCTGGGACCCCCGCTCCTGCCCTGTCGGCCAGCACCCAGAGTTCCTGCCATCAAGAAGCCAATCTTAAGAAGGACAGGAAAGGTAAGAACCCAGTAGCCTGAGCATCTGATTCTAAAGTTACTCAAATGGCCCATTATTAGTTAAAATTGCATCTCACAGATAAAAATCTCGTTGAATTTGGTTTCTTCACCCACCATCGTGAGTCCCAGCCGCATCTTTGAGGAAAATAGTTCCTCTGACAACCACCTTGTCCCTGGCCTCCCTGCTGCATCTTGGCCCCAGCTGAGCAGGAGCAACAAGCTGACTTTCACAGGTTCTCTCTGACAAGGGCAGTTTGGAGGAACTTGCTTGCTTGCCTGGGATGCACTCTCCTAGCTGGTCCCGAGCTGCCCTTCCTGCGTGGTGTGTGTGGTGTGCATGTGGTTTTACATGTACAGATCTCATGTGCATTGGATAATAACCAGGACCTAGGTTAGCAGATGTGCTTGCTCTCCTGCAGCTGCCATTTGGGGAGGTCCCACAGCTCTCCTTGCCACTTTTCTTGCAGATTGTTTTTTGTTCTCGCTCTCAAGCTTCTCAGCCTTGCTTACTGCTTCAAAGACATGAGTTTGTAAGGACAGTAGCTGCCCAAAGACTGGCACCTATAGACACATCCGGATCTTCCGTTTGATCTCGGTTCTAAGATGGGACACTCGGTAATCCTTGCCTGGGCATCGCAGGATGCCTGCTGCTTATCTGCCTGTGGACAGTGTGAGGTTGCTCTGGCGTGTCCCTCCTTGTGGGCTGGCTTCGTGTTTTCTGGGTGGCACTTGTCCCACGTTGGCTCACTGCCAGCTGTCCATTTTTCATGCCTTCTTGCAAAATGGACCTCCTTTGTCCTCTTGGCTGCTTGCTTTATCTTTACTTTGAAACACAAAGAGCAGACCGAAATGGGTTCATTTCCCCCAGCCTTCTGCCAGATGTTGGGGCACAAGGCTGGTGGAGAAGAGTATATATTTTTCATTTGTTTCTTAGTGAACCAGAGTGAGTTCTGGTATACTAACTGTTGATAGACACCTCCATACAAGAGCTTTGTTTCTCATTATGTAGTTCTCTTTGGAATATTTTGAATCAAAACCAAGGAGGTAAAGCTCCTGTGTAAAGTTCTCCATTTTTCTATATTTACATATAAAAGATTCAAGGACAAAATATATCCATTAGTCCTTCAGTTAGTTCCATGCTATGACATAAGTTATTTCACTCTAACATGGTATAGACTATGAATTATCTGCCAAGCCCGCCACTTCAAGAACATTTCCCAGAAATACTTGCTTTGAAACAAAGGAAGATGGCAACCCCATTCCCTACAGTACTGGCTATAGCTTTGTCTTGGATTACTTACCAAGGCCCCATGCATCTTTCACTGGATTTGCTGGTCTGCCCAGTCAGTGTGTGTGTGTGCCCTGTGCTTTCTTTCTCCTATCTGATCACATTTCCAGCACCCCAGACATTCTCCTCGCTCAAATGGGTGTAACACCCACTCTGTCTCGTTCATCTCTGATCTCCGCTGACCAAGTGTCTCTGTGTCTTGGTGTCCCAGGTGCTGCCTCCCTACTTACCCTCTGTCTTACCTTTCTCAGCCAATGTCACCGGAAGAACAGTTTGACCAGCATCCTGTCCGTTTTACAATTGGACCTCCAGAGACAAGCCTTGAAACACCCCCTCCAGTGACAGTGCCTCCACTCCCTCGAGTCCCTCCCGTTCCCAAGCCGAGAACATTTCAGCCCAGGAAAGAGGTGGAGAGGAGGTCCAGCAATGGAAAACCAGGACCAGATGAAGCATCTCTTGTGGCAGGAGCCACCATGCTGCCCCCTTCAGAGGTGCCCAAGGTGCCCCCAAGAAGGAAAAAATCTGCACCAGCAGCTCTCCACCTACAGATCCTGCAGAGCGACAGTCAGCTTCTTCAGGGCCTTTCAGACAGCAGCGATGCTGGGGGCAGCTGTTCTTTTGGACCCCAGCTGGACACCAACGCTCTCTTCCCACCAGTGGATTTTCTAGGCACTTCATCCGCCTCAAGCCCTGAAACTAATGGCCCCAGGGCAATGAAGCCCACGGCAAGCTCTGTTCTTGGTGATTGTCAGGACCCTTTTTGGAGCCTTCTCCACCACCCTAAACTGCTGAATAATGCCTGGCTTTCCAAGACTTCTGACCCTTTAGACCCCACAGCCAGAAGCTCTGAGAGGGCACAGACAGACCCAGCACAGCTCAGCACTTCTGCTGACAAGGGGCAGCTGCTCCCAGACCATGAGGGAAAGACGTTCGATCACTGGGTGTCCATCAGTGACAAAGACAAGAGAACGACATTGCAGGTGTTTGACCCACTGGCAAAAACATGACCAATGGACTTGTAGAATACCTCCCTCACAGACTTGCTTGACCAGGTCAAAAAGACATGTATTTAAACAAAAGCACACTGAAAAAACATTTGCGCATCTATCCCTTTAAAAAAACAAATATTGTGTCTGTTCTTCAGTAAGATTATTATTCACCCTCCAAATGTTTTCTGTAAGACTCGTGCATTTTTAGTTTGCTCTTGGGAATGGGATCCTCCTGTTTGATTCAGTGTATGGATTTTAAGGAAGGAAATTTAGCTGATAAGGCCCAAGTTCTCTCCTTTACAGTGAATCTTAAGTGTTCATTCAGTTTATATGTATGTGGTGGAGTTTTGTTTGTTTTTAATTTTCTTTATATTTTACAAACTTGGGATAGCTCTTTGGTGAACCTTTGGAAGATTATGCATAAAGGATAACATTAAAAGTGGGGAAATTTTGAGCTATTACCGGCCTACTTTAAACCAGGTTTAGTTTTGTTTTTGTGGTTTTGTTTTTTGAGACAGGGTCTCACTATCTAGTTCAGGCTGGCCTTGAACTCATTATGCAGCCCAACGTGGCCTTGAACTCGCAGCAACCCTCCCTCTTCAGTCCCTTGAGAGCTGTGATTACAGGCATGCGCTACCATGCCCAGCTACCCCAGATTTTAGAAGTCAGAAGCAGAAATTAGGTCAACCAAAAGACCAGACCCTACATTCCCTTGAGCCATTGTGTTTGTTTATGTAGTCAGCCTTTCATATCTTCACATTCTGCATTCACAGTCAGCCAGCTACTAATCAAAAATAAAACAACTGCATCTGTACTGAACATGTACAGACTTCTTGTCATTATTCCATAGACATTAGAACATAACTATTTGCATGGCATGTACACTGTACATGTTAGGTACTATAAGTCATCTAAAGATTACTTAAAATGTATAGGAGGAGATACCTAGGTTAGATGTGAATACGATGCTGTTTAGGTAAGACTGGAACATCTGGATTTTGGTATCTAAGGGGACCCTGGAACCAATCCCCTTTGGATACTGAGGGATAACTATACATGTGTGTGAACCTGGATTGTGTGTGAATCCTGTGGGAGCTGGGGTCTTACACTATTGAAGTTTTAATGCGGGTACCATTAGCTTACGCTCAGTTTAAACGCACTGCAGACTCTGGTACTAGGTCTCAGACATTTCATGTCATATAAATTGCTGTAGTCTTGAGTTAGGGTTGTGCTTCTTCAGTTTGTATCCCCTTTATTATCTCACCTTTATTATATGAAGCCTCATAGACTCTCTTCCCCCCAGATACTCCATAAAGATACAGACTTATAAAGGCACATAATATTTTCATTCTGAAGAGTATTCGTTTTAGTCTCATCCACCTGGCCATGGCTTCAGGAAGAAATGCACTGCTTGGCCCTGTTATATAAGGATCCCCAGGGGCAGAATGCCTGAGTTGGCTTACTTTTTAGAGTCTTTCATGGATGCCATACTATTCATGAGTGTAGGGGGCTCCTATCTGAAATGCCAACCACTGGTATGGTCACAGTCACCTTGTCTGGGATATACCATCTTTGCCACCAGTCAGACCTCTGGGATTTCAGAATTCATTTTCACTGTCATTATCTAGATATATGACAAGGCACCTAAATCTGGAATTCAAAAACAACTTTACATATCTCATTTAATCTGGAAATTGATAAGGAATTAATGGCTGATGTACTATGCATAATTGGCCAGTTACAAAAAGTAGTTCAGGTGGTCAGTACCTTGTGTGGCACTTAATGTATTTAAAGGATTATGTTGTTCACCTCTTGTGTTTGTTAAAGAAAGAAAAAAAAAATCATATAAAGAGTTGGAAGAGCCAAGATGGGTTGCTTGGAGAAGTAAAATGATTGAACAAGATGAATCTCTCGACTAACAGGTGCAATCACGAATGGACCTGAAGACTTCTTTATTCAAATGCCCTTTTCCTTTTATCCTGTCTTTCTACATGAAAAGAGGTAAATTTGAAAGAAAATCTATGTAAAAAATCAGAAAAGCAGGGAGTAGTCCCTGCCATATAAATTGTTTGCAATGCTGGGAATAGGCCTAATTTGGTTTCTTTGTTCTAGCTAGCAAGAAAAACGTGATAGTACAGAGAACAGGATTCCATTATGATAGGTTCTCACAATACAAGCAGCTCTTGAGAGCCTGTCAGTAAATGTTAACATACAGAATTGTACTGACCTGGGGAGGTGGGTCACAAGAGCACAATAAAAATTATGAGTTGCACAAGAATTGTGTGGCATAGTGTGTACTCCTGTAATCCTAGAAATCGGGAGACTGAGGCAGGAATATTGCTTGAAAGTTCAAGACCAGCCTGAATTTACATAGTACGGCAGTCTGAAAAATAACGAATATTACTTCATCATGGATATTCAAATTTAATGAACAATATGGACTACATTTTGAGTTGCTACTAGGTATAGTTCTCTCACCTCTCTCTTAAAAATGAGGACCATTAGAATAGTTTTACTTGTTTGTTTTTGTTTTTTTTAAATCAATGCTTACCAGTTTGAAGGTTTCCCAGGTTAGCAGGAGAGTCAACTGGGGAACTTTGCCTGAAACCGGCTGCTCTTGAAGGGATTTCATTCTGTGGGTTTCATTTTTGGTCCATCTTTATGCTACCACAAGGCTTTCTTACTGTGACCTTGTAGTTTAATCGCCACTGTAGGGTTGCACGGTATAGTTTAGGCCTCACACTTTACACCCGAGCACCGCCTCCGACAAGTATTGTCCCTTTTGCAATGTCATCGTCTCAGACTCACTGCCTATTTCTAAAGTTTATTTTGGTACATGATTGAAATGAGGGTGTCTTCTCATGCAGTTTCTGTAAAAGCTTAAAGTTGTTGAAGCTCAAGATATTTAACAAGATGCTCCTGGACATGTGTGTGAATAAAAGCAAGTAATCTAGCTTTCACTTTTAATGAAGTCATTTTGGGGAAGGAAAGCTTCAGAGATTATTTATTGGGGTGATTAATTAAATACCTGTAATATTCTCGAAGTGATATTTGTACCCTTTGTTATACAGAATGTGTATTAAATATTTGTCTTTTTAAAAATTGGGCTCATTTTTTTTCTCCAGATATGAAAACATCTTTCAGCTATCATCCCAGATTAGCCTTCTGTTTTGGATCAACTGCCATTACTAGTTATTCATCTGTGTGAGTTTTGGTTTTGGGTTTTTGTTTCTTTGTTTCTTAAACCATATTAAGTTGAAAAAAAGTAACAGGTTAAGAATTTTTGACTTGAAGGCAGTAGCAGGAACCACTGCTTTACCATAGCACATAATCTTATGCTACACTGTAAAACTTCCAACAATTCATTTTCTGCAGGACTTTAGAGCAAACAAACTTGGAAGCGTGGACATGGTTGAAGTATGTGACTGTGTAGAAGCCGGAGAAAGTACCTATTCCTCAAGTTCCATCCAGGTTTGTTCTAAGGTAATTAATACACAAAATATAGATCATAATGTTTTTGGGTGATTTTTCAGGAATAAGAATATAGTGATCTCTAGTAAATGCGATTAGTCCTTCCTGACCAGTACTTCACACACTGAATTTGCTTCATGTGAGGGTTTCACCCTGTGGTCTGGGTGAGGAGTAAGGAGACAGCTGGGTGCCAACCTGGCCTTGCCAAAATAGTGAGAAAGTTTGGCTTAAAATTCACTCTTATCGCAAGCAAACTGTTCACCTATATCTCCATCGTGCATTAAAGAGTACAAATGAGTGATCGCCAAGAGAGGGTAGGGAAGATTTGGAGACGGGTGTTGAGAATTTCTAATAGTTTATTTAACACATTTTGTTTTTTAGAGCAATTTTAAGTTGACAGGAAAAAATGAGCAAAAATAGAGTTCCCGTATGTCCCTTCCCCACTCACATAGCCTGTGTTATTGTGAACATCCTGCACCGGAATGGTGCATTGTTACAACCTGTGAGCCAATATGGACATGTCATGGTCACCCATAGATCCATTGCCTTCATTCTTGGGGTGTCTAGGGGTTTGGACGAGCGGCCCTACCACAGTATCTCACGGAGCAGTTTCACTGTCCTAAAAGTGCTGTTCTGCCTTGGGTCTCTTCCCCACCCAGCCACATCCGAGCCACTGTGTATTTTTTATCGTCTCCATGGTTGTGACCTTTCCAGAATGCCATGGAGTTGGAATCATAGACTGTGCAGAAGTTTCACGGAGGCTTCTTGGACTTGAAATAGATTTTCGTTTCCTCCATGTCTCTCATGAAGGGACAGCTCATTTCTTTTTAGTCCTGAATCATACTCCCTTCTCTGGATGTGCTATAGTTTATTCATACTGAAGGACATCTTGATTGCTCCCAGGTTTTATCAGTTATGAATAAAGTTGCTATAAATATCATTGTGCAGGTTTTTGTGTACATGTAAGCTTTCAAAATACCAAATCCTGCATTTGCTGGATCATTTAATAAGAGCATGTTTTATAAGAAACTGCTTTCCAGCCAGGTGTGGTGACATATGCCTATAATCCCAGCACTCTGGGAGCCCGAGGCAGAAAGATAGCAAGTTCGAGCCCAGCACAGACAAGTTAGCAAGATCCTGTTTTCAAAATTAAAAAAAAAAAATTTTTTAAAGGGCTGAAAGTTTAATTTAGTGCAAAGGTTCTAGGTTTAAGTCCTTGTACCACCAAAACACGAAAACTCCTGCCTTGCAAAGTGGCTGTACCACTTTGTATTCCCACCAACAATCAATGAGAGTTTCTTTTACTCCACATCCATGTCAGCAGTTGGTATTGCATTTCTGGACTTGGGGCATTCTAATAGGTATATAGTGGTATCTCATTTTAATATGTAATTCCCTAATGACATGTGATCTTGGACATCTTTTCAAATGCTTGCAATGTGTGCAGGTACACACCTGTAATTCCAGCATTCAGGAGGCTGAGGCAGGAAGGTCACCATTAGTTTGTGGCTAGCCTGGGCTACATAGTGAGTTCAAGGCCATCCTGTCACCAAAAAAAATTTTTTTAAGTTTTTAAAAATCAAGGGTTTTTTTTTTTTTTGCCATCTATGGTGACATGATATATCTATGCAAAGTCAATTTTTAATTGGACTGTTCATTTTTTAATGTTGATTTTTTTCTTACTGTTGAATTTTAAGTACTTTGTATTTCATTTAGTAGTCCTCTATCAAGATGTGTCTTTTGCAAATATTTTCTCTTAAGTCTGTGGTTTGCCTTCTCATTCTTTTGATGTTGTCTTTTGCAGAGCAGAAAAAATAAGGATTTAGAAAGTAACAACATAAATTTATGTAGCTAGAAAGGATGTTAATTGAGGAGAAAGAATTTCAGAGGACCTGGGGTTTGAATCTACAGGTTACAAAAGCAGTGGGTACTGAGATACCCAAGTAAATTGTGGTGGAATGGTTATGTTTACAGGCTTTTCCTGGACTGAGCGACTCTTCAAATTATCTAGAATAGAGTCTCCAGAGGCAGCAGTGCCCAACACTCCTGAAGGGCAGTCGCATTAGTACGTTACCCATTGTTCTTACTTCCTTAGGTAGGCTTCGGAAGGATTAATTTTATTGACATTTTCAAATAACAACTTGATATTTATAAACTAACTTTTTCATTTTAAAAAAAAAATTTTCATTAATTTCAACTTTAATTTATATATCTTTTTTTTCTTTTTTGGGGGGTGGGTACCCAGAATTGAACTCACAAGCTTGCACTTGCCAGGCAGGTGCTTTGCTGTTGAAATGTATCCCTGGCTCTTTTTCTATTTCTAAATTTTATTCTTTTCTAATCTTAATGAGAAGTTGAATGGGCTTTATTAATTTTAGTCTTTCATACTTAACAATAAAAATAAGTTTATACTTTTTAAAATAATTATACCCTTAATGGCATCCTTCACATTTTGGCATGAAATGTTCTTATTAATTGCTAAATTTTAAATTTTGCTTTTATTTTCTATTTGATTGAAGGTTTAAGGAACTAATTTCCAAGGAAAGGGTCTCTTGGTTATTTTTGCATTTTAAAATTACTTCTAGTTTTATTAGAGTGTAACCTAATGATATGACCAGTAAACATATCATTTTATTGTTTGTGGCTATGTGCAAATCGATTTTTTGGAACTGATTTCATCAATACATGTTTTTGTCTTTTAGCTGTAAAACACAATCTTTTGTGGGTAAGAGTGAGGTTGAGTCGATGGGTCAGCTCCTCTCTAACCTGCCGGGACAGGTTCTCTCTTGCAAGACGGATCTGCAGGGGACGTGAAGGCTATAGTTTTAGCTCTGCTGTGACAGCTTCCCCTGTTCTTACCAAGATCCTTTCTTACCGTGGTTGCGAACCTGTGGCACATGTGCTGCAGCAGGCAGCTTGTATCACTGAAAACTCCAAAAGGTTCACCTTCTGTGCCTTAGATTTTGTTAAATATATGTTGTTTGATGCAAGGCTTTCAGATCTCTAGAGGCTTTGAATAACTGATGGCCTTTGCTAATTCTGACCGGTAGAATAACATGTCTCTGGGGAGAGTGTGTCCCTGAATTCTTCATATGACTGTACCTGAATTCTGACCCTCTGGGCTCTCTGTTCATGACATGGTCTTACTTAACTATGAACCTGGTAAAGACACCTTCCTGCTGTGTTCTTTTTCTTTGAAACTATCTTAATGATTTAAGTCGAATTTTTTTTTTTTTTTTGCATTTTAGATATACAGAATACCATTCCTCACAGGGAATCTGCACTGTACACGATGAATCTTGCTGCTGCGTCCCCCCATTCCCATCCCTCTCCCCACTCCTCAACCCCTCTTCTCCTCACTTACAAAAGCTTTGTTTTCTTTATTTCCTTCTATTTTTTCTTTTCCTTTCCTTCCTTGCCCCCTCCTTTGTTCCCCTTCCCATCTGAACAGATTTTAAAATCAATTTGTAAATTTTCATTTTTAAAAAAAGCCTTTTGAAATTTTCAAATGGGGCTGCATGAACAGGAATAGATTATCTTCCAGAGATAATCCAGGAGCAGAATATATTTTTCTCCATTTAAGGCTTACATTAATGTTTCTCAAATTATTTGTTACTGAAAAAATTTAAGCATATATGAAGTCAGAGAGAGTAGTTTGAAACTTCATACATCAACTAAATGTTAACAGTAACATTTTGCTTTTTATTTTTTCCTTTGCTGAAACATTATATTTGATTCTAAACATTTTCAACAAATATCTCTAACATTTGTTCATAACTTTAATGCTGTGATTGTAGCTAACAATTTTTACTTTAAAATTCATGTGGTAGGTATACTGTTTTCTTAAGGCTTCCAACTACATTATAAGAAACCCACCTGTTGTGAGATGTCAGTTAGAAAAATGTTAAAGTAGTCTAAAACACACCTTGGAATTTTAAACTATTATATGTGACTTCTGTATGTCAGTTCTTTTGGATTATGTGGATGGTAATTGTGAAGAATGGATTGATTCGGCAGCATATATACTGAAATTGGAACAATAATGAGATTAGCATGGCCCCATTGCAAGAACTTTTTTCCCCCTCTCATTTTTGTATCTTTTTGGGTTTTTTTCTTGTCTCCAGAGCAGATTAGAAAATTTAGTACAATGCTCAATAAAAATGTTGATAGTAAGCATCCCTTTGTTACTCCTGTTCCCAAAAGGAAAGTTACAATATTTGTCATTATGTTATTATTTTTGTCTTCAGATATCCTTTGCTAGATTAAGAAAATTCTATTTCTGGCTTGCAGTGTTTTTCATTAATGGTCACTAACTTTAACAAAATATTTCTGCATAAAGGTGATGATTCCTTTTATATGCTAACAGTGAATTACATCAATGAGTTTCTCAATGTTAAGCAAAACTTACATTCTGTGTAAACCCAATTTGGACAGATATCTTTTTAAATATTGCTAGATTTAGTGTCAATAGTTTTACTTAGGACTTTTACAATGGCATTCATTAGTGAAGAGGGCTTGTTACCTTTCTCTTTTTGTACTGTTAACCTCACAAAATGAGTTGGGTAATAGTCTTTTCTATTAACTGAAGAAATTTAACATTATATAACTATTTCCTCCCTATGCTCATAGTA